ACACACACAGAGAGAGAGAGAGAGAGAGAGAGAGAGAGAGAGAGAGAGAGAGAGAGAGAGAGCAGGGCAAAGCTGATCACACCCTGGCTTCTGATGGCACTGTTTGGACACAGTGCCATCTGGTGGAACAGGCCGAGGCTGGGGGGGCAGGGCGAGGTTGGGGAGCAGGCCGAGGCTGGGGGGGCAGGGCGAGGTTGGGGAGCAGGCCGAGGCTGGGGGGCAGGGCGAGGTTGGGGAGCAGGCCGAGGCTGGGGGGCAGGCTGAAAAAGAGTGGAACAAAGAACAGCAACAGTGGAACAAGAAAATGCACAGCGTGCCCTTGCTTTCCTTCCCTGAAGCTGGTTAAGAATGGTGGAAAGGAAGAATGGAAGAGATGCAGGACTTGCTAGGTGTAGTGCTACATGCGTTTAATCCCGGCATTCAGGAGGCAAGGCTAGCCTGTTGTGCACAGCAAACAGGGCCAGCCAGGGCTATATAGTGAGAAACTGTCCCAAAAATAAAGAAGAATTCATTCTTTCTCTCAATCATCACTCACCAAGTCATTTTCTTGGGAGGACACTGGTAGGGGACAGATAAAGTTGAGTTTATTTAGATTTTTCTCTCTACAAAGCAGATTTGACAAGCATGAAGGGAGATAGAGATGATAACTCCAGATAGCTAGGGGCTAGATTAGGAATTTGAAGCCTGTGCCTAGTCTAAGATTCTTAGAAGTCTTCTTTTCCCTCCATTTGTTTTTTTTTTGTTTGTTTGTTTGTTTGTTTTATTCATGTATTTTATGTATATTGGTACTTTGTCTGCATGAACATCTGTTCACCATCAGACAGTGTGAGCTGCCATGTGGGTGCTGGGAATTGAACTTTGGAAGAGCAGTAAGTGCTCTTAACCACTGAGCCATCTCTCCAAACCACCACCACCACCACCCATGTTTTTTGAGATAGGGTCTAGCTAACAATGCACAAGGAAATAGTATATTATGGGATTGCAATGAAGAAAAAGTCGTGGTAAAGAGAGTCAGAAAGCCCTGAAGCCAAGTTCCATTTCTCCTGCCAGCCAGATGTGTGACTGTGAGCAAATGACTTAACCGTCAGTGTCTATGTCTGCAAGATAGAGTTATTGTGGACTGAATGAGCCTTGCACACACTACCCATGCCATGAGTATCAGTCCTTTCTCTTCACTCTCCAACGTGATCCTACACACAGAAGACACGTGGGGTGTGGAAAAGCACGGACGGCACCAGGAAGTGCTTTGGAAGCAATCACATAAAGCCAAGTGAAAGGTAAGCCCTGCACTAAAGTGTGGTATAGATGCAGATTTAAGAGCGAATTGGGTAGAACAATTCTACAAGTCCTGATTGTCTAATTAGCTATGCAAGATTAGGAAAACAAAAACAAAAACACTGTAGGCTGATTCAGGAGCTCTCCGGGGCAATGTGCTAGATGAGGGAACCATGGAAGCTGGAGGGCTTGTGAACAAGGTGATGACCTTCAGAGAGTCAACCAAGCTGACACCACTGTGAACATCCTGAAGCCTAAAATGCAGTAAGGTTGTGGCAAGGTGAATATGAACAGGGTTTTAACACAGGGACTATGGGGTGGGGCATGGAGTGGGGCATGGAGTAGGGGTGACAGAGTTTATAAACATGAAATTAAGTGCAAGTTAAAGTCTGAGTGGGAAGCAGTGAGGACCAGCACAGACCACCATTAGAGGTAAACCCTCCTTATGCCACTATATTCCAGCACAAAACACTTGAGGAGTCAAAAAAAGAATGATTTCTATTGAAAGTGGCAGAATCCACTTAAAATTAGCTTAAGCAAAAGAATAAATGTATTCATTCTTGTCACAAGAATATAGGCTTTCTGCTCCACCTAGTTCCAGAAACAGTCATGTCTCCTCCATGAAGTGCCAGCCTAATGCCTGAGACCTGATTGTAAAGGTTAGAAAGAATAAATTTGGCTGTACTGGGTGCCTGGTCACCAAGACTGCTTTCAGCTCTAGCAGGATGGATATTGTTGACATCAGTGATCCCTTCATTGACCTCAACTATGTGGTCTACATGTCCCAGTATGATTATACCCATGACAAGTTCCCTGGTACAGTCTAGGATGAAAATGGGAAATTTGTCTTTAATCTTCCAAGAGTTAGATCCTGCCAACATCAAATGGGTTGACATTGATGTCAAGTGTATTGTGGAACATCCTGGTTTCTTCATTATCATGAAGAAGGGTGGGGCCCACTTGAAGGATGGAAACACCAAGGTCATCAACTCTGCCCTTTATGCTGATACCTCCCTGTTTGGTACAAGAGAGATACAACAACTCAAGTTTGTCAGCAATGCCTTCTGTACCATAGACTGCTTAGCAACCTCTAGCCCCAAGCCAACGTCATCCATGAAAACAGTTCAGCATCATCAAAGGACTTGTGATCACAGTCTATGCTATCACTGTCACCAATAAGACCTTGGCTGAGCCTCCACCCCCCCCCCAGGCAACTATGATGTAATGACCATGAGGCTGCTCAAACATCATTCCTGCATTTCTGGTGCTGCCAAAGCTATGGACAATGATCATCCCAGAGCTGAACAGGAAGCTCATTGACATGTGCTCCATGTTCCTACTCCCCCTGTGTGTCCTGGATCTGGCATGTTGACTGGAGAAAACTGCTATTCGAGAGACACCAAGAAGGTGGTGGCCAAATGATGGCAGAGGCAAAGCAGATCTCTACATTCAAGGCCAGCTTAGTCTAAATAGTGAGTTCCAGGTCAGCTAGGGCTACATAGATAGACCCTGTCTCAAAAATAAATACAGGTAGATGATAGATAGATAGATAGATAGATAGACAGACAGACAGATAGGTGGTGAAGTAGGCTTTCAAGGGCTGTCTGAAGGGCATCCTGGGCTTATCTGGGGACAAAGCTGTTTCCTGAGACTTTAACAGCAACATCCATTCTACCTTTGATAATGGAACCAGCATTGTTCTCAACAACCACTTTGTCAAGCTCCTGTCCAGGTATGACAAAGAATTTGGCTACAGCAACAGAGTGGTGGGCCTCATGGTCTACATAGCTTCCAAGAGTAAGAAACCCCGGACCAGCTGGACATTGGTGGCGAACATCTTTACTCCCAGCACTTGGGAGGCAGAGGCAGGCAGATCTCTGTGAGTTCAAGGCCAGCCTGGTCTACAGAGCAAGTGCCAGGACAGGCTCCAAAGCAATACAGAGAAACCCTGTCTTGAAACACCTCCACCCCACCCCCAAAAAAAAAGAAAAGAAAGAAAGGAACCCTGGACCAGGAGACCCTTCTCCAACTCAGTCCCCTGCACACTGAGCATCTCCCCTCACAGTTTCTATCCCAAACCCCTAGAATAAGTGGGGACTTAAAAAGCCTTTAGGAGAACTGGAGAGATGGCCCAGCAGTTAAGAGCATTGACTGCTCTTCCAGAGGACCTGGATTCAATTCCCAGCACCCATGTAGCAGCTCACAACTATTTGTAACTCCATTTCCAGGGGACCTGGCATCCTTACACAGACATACATGCAGGCAAAACTCAAATATACATAGTAAATGGAGAAGAAGATGATGATGATGAAGTCTTTAGGATATCTCAGTAAAGTCCACTGTGGGGGCTAGGGGAAATCTATTGTCCACTGTGGTGGCCAGGGGAAATCTATTGTCCTCTGTGGGGGCTAGGGGAAATCTATTGTCCACTGTGTGGGCCAGGGGAAATCTATTGTCCTCTGTGGGGGCTAGGAGAAATCTATTGTCCACTGTGGGGGCCAGGGGCAATCTATTGTCCACTGTGGGGGCCAGGAGAAACCTATTGTCCACTGTGGGGGCCAGGGGAAATCTATTGTCCACTGTGGGGGCCAGGAGAAACCCATTGTCCACTGTGGGGGCCAGGGGAAATCCATTGTCCACTGTGGGGGCTAGGGGAAATCTATTGTCCACTGTGGGGGCTAGGGGAAATCTAGTCCACTGTGGGGGCTAGGGGAAATCTATTGTCCTCTGTGGGGGCTAGAGGAAATCTATTGTCCACTGTGGGGGCCAGGGGAAACCTATTGGTCTTTCTGTCATCCCTATTTCAGGCAGGCTCACACTTTGCAGTATCAAGCTGACATCCAACAGAGCCAGTTTATATTATCCCAGCTCAGCAATCCAGCAGAAAATGAGCTCATTTCCAAAGTTTACAGAAAAAGTCTCAGACAAGGGTCTCATGTCCCCATCTCTGAGCATCCTGATGGCTGTGGTCAGAGTGTGGGCCACACAAATTGGCCCTAACAGAAGCAAGGGCAGACTGACATGAACCTGATGCATCTCCAGAAGGCCAAATTGTGGTTACCAGAAAGAGAATTCTGAGCAGATGTTCACCACAGATGTGTTGAGTTTGAAGCGCTACAGCACTTGGGTCGTACACACCCAGTGTTACTGAGTTGAGAAATTACTCAAGGACTTTATGATAATGACAACATGACAGAAATGTTCCTTAGGATTGGGAGGTGAGGGGGTAGAGGATCAAGGAAATGTCCCTGGGCCTGAAAGTGCCCACCAGTTTCATGGTGCTAGAGAAAACTCCCTTGATAAAAAGCAGGACAAGGACAACAGTTGTTTGTTTTCGTTTTTATTTGAGGACTGGAGAATTTAGCATTGGAACCCTGGAAAAGAAAAGCCTAAGGCTAGGAGTACTCGGGAAAGGAAAAGCCGGTCCCCGAGGTTTTAAACATCTGGTTATTCTGGGCTCCCGTTCTCGGTCTCTTCCCTCATTCTTAGCTTGTCTGACATTCGATGTCTCTTGGTTGCTATCTCTAAGGAGCAACAGGCTTCAAAGTTACATCAGTAGCCCTGCAGCGTGGCGGGTCGTGGGGCGGAGCCTCGGAGTGGGCGGGACCCAAGGTGAACCCAAGCCTCCAATGGGGATAGTAGTCTTAAGGGTATGATGCCTGTAGGGCGGAGGCTTCACCAGAGCTGATGCTTGGAACCCCGGCCAGTGAGCTGGCCCACAGATGGGCGAGAGAACCAGCTAGGTACCGCCCCGGCGCCTGCCCGCCTCCTTTTTAAGCGCCTCCCGCCTAACCTCAGCTCCCTTTGGTTTTGCCTCGCTCCTTCCTTCCCCGCCTTCCTTGTCTCCCCCGACTGCACTGGTTCCTGTGGCCACCCTGCAGCGCCAGCCCAGGTGCCATGGCTGCTATGTACCTCCCGAGTCTGCGGTGAGTGACCCATAGCCTGGGGCCCACTCCGTGCTCCACCATCGGAGCTGCCTCCGCTTGTTTCCCATCCTAGGAAGAGACTGGCAGGGCGGCTGTTTACCAGTCTGGGTCTCACGGTGGTGTACCCCCCCACACACACACACCATCTCCAGCCACGCGAGCTCCCCTACCCCTCCCTGCCGGCTTGCCCTGTCTTCCATCTGCCACTCTCAATCTCTCCTCCTTCCTCTTTGCCTTCCCGAGCCTGTCTCTGCAAATCGCTTACTTACCAGATGTAATTCTTTCAGACTGGGGTTCCCAGACCACCCCTCAGTACTGTGAGGAGCCATAAGGCCCTGAGGCCAAAGGGCTTGAGCCTTTGGGAGCCCAAGCTCCAAGCTTCCTAAAGAAGGTAGAAGGTAAACATCATTCGCTGCCTCCCGAGAATGAACCCTGGCATGAAGCCCAGTGAAGCCTCAGGGAACTGGGGACTTGAGGGGGGGGGGGAGAAGGGAGGGAAGCAAGATGTGGGGCAGATTGCCTTCTTTTTAACTTGGCTGGCTTCTTCCCCTAGCGGGTCCTGGGCCCCAAGCTTGTCCTGGCTGCCTTCCTGCCATAAAACGGGGTCTCTCCTCTGTGTTTCCTCTTCTCCACGGTCTTTGACATCGAGTCTAAACTGACTCCTTATCCCTCCTACGCAGTCCATGTGAGTCCTCCCTGAAGGATGGTGCAACGGTCCCTCTTAGAGGCATGCAGGAGGATGGGGATGGGACTGGGAGAAGCAATGCTTCATATAAGGCAACTGGAGCCAGATGCCAGCTTTCAAAGCTGTGCCTTTAAAATTAATTTTTCAAGGAAACGTTCCTGGGCAGAAAAAGGTACACGGAGCCCTGCTTTGCTGGGTCCCCAGCCCCCTAGGGCCACACTAAGCATGCTGCCTTTCTTGTCTTCTGGAAAACAGGCCACCCAGGCCCAAACCCCCACATCCAAGAACTCCATTTTCTTCTTTCCCAGGCATATAGCCTGTGATCCGAGTTTCCTGTCCTCTTATGTTCTGACCCCTAAAAGCATGCAGCTTCTAAGGCTGCCAGGGAATGCATAGGCTCAAGCCACCTTAGTCTACTGTGGGTTTCTGGAAGGTGAGACCTTGCACATGAGAAGGGTAACTACCTCTCTTGGCCTTTACTATCTTGGGTCCAGACCAAACACAGTAGACCCTGCCCTTCTGATGACTTGGGCATGGACCCCTGACCAGTGACATTCCTTCTTCTTACTCAGCCTTTCACTTAGTTAAAAAGAAAAAAAAAAAAAACTTAACTAACCAATCATTGTTGACAAATATACTCCCAGAACCCCATCATCAGTTTTCTTCATGCAAGAATCCTAATCTAAAAACCAGGTATTGGAAGAGGGTTTTTCTATCTCATAAGCTATACCCACTGTTGGGGCATTTACATGAGGAAAAGATAAAAATAACTGCCATTTTAACATAAAAACTGTGACTGGAAAGAACATTGGTGAGGTTCTTAAAAATAGCCTTAAGAAGCTCTCATCTGGGCAGTTCCTTGACTCAGCCACAGGGTTCTTGCTTTTTTCTAACCCTACAGCCGACATAGTAAAACAGGGTGTGGGCTACACGTGCAGTATCAGCGTGCACACTTTTACAGCCAGATATGTGCTTTTATGCTTACTTGACCACCTCTCTGTCCCTGAACAGGAGACGCATACCTCATAAAGGCCACAAGTGCAGGTAGTCTGAACTCATTTCACGTACTGACCATGACCTGATCTTATTGCCTGCAACCGGATGTGCTTTAATTCTTTCCTGGGGCACGAGCTTCCTGTCCTCCCTCCCAGTGGCTGTCTCCCATGATAGCCACTGGATGGTTGCCTCTCTGTTTTGCCTCTTATAGGTTTAGCTGGCATGGGCTGAGGCCCTCATGCTGGTCACAGTGCCGTAGCATCCAAACCCTGCGTGTGCTCAGTGGAGATCTGGGCCAGCTGCCAACTGGAGTCCGGGACTTTGTGGAGCGCAGTGCCCGTCTGTGCCAACCAGAGGGCATCCACATTTGTGATGGGACTGAGGCTGAGAACACAGCCACACTGGCCCTGCTGGAAGAGCAGGGTCTTATCCGGAAGCTCCCCAAGTATAAGAACTGGTAAGCCTTGAAGCTAGCAACCCCCAAAATAAAGGGCTCTTTGAATGCACCAAGACAAAGATATTTCTAGACAATACCAGTGGAATGAGGGGAAATGGACTAGGAAGTGAATGTTTCACATTAAATGAAAAATATATGAATTTACAAATTGGAGCTCTTGCTTTTTTGGGGGGAGCCTAGTGCCCCCTCCCACTTCGTGAAACATTTGCCAGGGGTAGAGAGGTTCCAAAGCTGGGCCTTGCAGAAACCATCTCTTAGTGACACAAACCCTAAAGGGACTAAATTGCAATTGGATAAGAAAACATACAGCAAACAGACCTGGAATCAATGTTGGACTTACAACGTGAGTCTGGCCAGGCTTAGTGGTACATGTCTCTAATCCCATCACTTAAGAGACAGAAGCAAGTAGATCTTTGTGAGTTTGAGGCCGGCCTGGTCTACAGAGTGAGTTCCAGGACAGCTAGAGCTGCATGGTAAGATCCTGTCTTGAAAAAAACATAAAAAGAAACGACTCTGAAGGTAAGTAAACTAGACACCATTTCCTGGCAATCCTCTCTCCTGCAGCTGGCTGGCTCGCACAGACCCCAAGGATGTGGCACGGGTAGAAAGCAAGACGGTGATTGTAACTCCTTCACAGCGGGACACAGTGCCCCTCCTGGCTGGTGGGGCCCATGGGCAGCTGGGCAACTGGATGTCCCCAGATGAATTCCAGCGAGCTGTGGACGAGAGATTTCCAGGATGCATGCAGGGTAACAAGTCAGGGACACCAAAGCAGGGGCATGGAAGATATGAGTGGGCCTGGAATCCTTCATCCAAGTGACACCTTCCTCCACAGGCAGAACCATGTATGTGCTTCCATTCAGCATGGGTCCCGTGGGCTCCCCACTGTCCCGCATTGGAGTGCAGCTCACAGACTCAGCCTATGTGGTGGCAAGCATGCGTATTATGACCCGCCTAGGAACACCTGTACTTCAGGCCCTGGGAGATGGTGACTTCATCAAGTGTCTGCATTCAGTGGGCCAGCCCCTGACTGGGCATGGTGAGTTCCTACCCTATCTAGAGCAGGACACTGAGTCCTTCCTGCACTCAGAGGGAGCCCCAAATCTGACCCATCCACAAAGAAATTGTGGGTGTGAATGATCACTCCCCAAGGCCCTGGGAAGCATTCTGGACTGGAACAACACTGTTTGGAGAACAGTTTACACAAGACTCAGGAGTCAGTCTCCATGTCTGAAAGAGGCACAAGAGCTGACGGGCACTAAAAATGGGAGTGAGGCTTAGCTACCCCTGGGCACTGCCAATGCTTCCAAATGTCTCTTGGGTCAATCCTTGGTCCCTCCAGTCCTTGACACTCAGGTTTCTGATGCCACTGCCAGCAGCACTATGACCCCATTGTCTCCAGGGGATCCTGTGAGCCAGTGGCCATGCAATCCAGAAAAAACCCTGATTGCACACGTACCAGACCAGCGGGAGATCGTCTCCTTCGGCAGCGGCTATGGTGGTAACTCCTTGCTGGGCAAGAAGTGCTTTGCCCTGCGCATCGCCTCTCGCCTGGCCAGGGATGAGGGCTGGCTGGCAGAGCACATGCTGGTGAGGGCCTGGTGAGGAACTGAGCGGCTGTGGAGGAGGGGGTAGTTGGGGAACCCTTGGCAATCTGCCTCAGCCTTACCTCCTTCCTGCCAGGTGCCAGGAAGGTGAGCCTGAAGTTTTAACCCCAGGCTGCTGAACACTGCTACCCTTGCCCTGGTGGCAGGGCAGGACACCTGCTTAATGGATAAACATTAGTGTCCATTCCCCGCTTCCTACCCCATTTCCCGCTGGCTGTCCTTATCCATGCAGACTATGCCCTGACCTTTGGTGACTTCATTCTGTCCCCTTTCCTTCAACACAGATTTTGGGGATCACCAACCCTGCAGGGAAAAAGCGCTATGTGGCAGCTGCTTTCCCCAGTGCCTGTGGCAAAACCAATCTGGCTATGATGCAGCCTGCATTGCCAGGCTGGAAAGTAGAGTGTGTCGGGGATGACATCGCATGGATGAGGTTTGACGGTGAAGGTGAGGGGCCCTTTTCCTCAGCAGCCAACATGAGCCCATACCTCAGTTAGCCTAGCAAAGCCTTTCTCTATTAGATCTAGGGTCCAAAAAGGGGACAGGGACCTCCTCAGCCTCACAGCTCAGCTTTTCTAAGGGTCCTGTCTTTCACTTTTGGCAGGTCAACTCCGGGCCATCAACCCTGAAAATGGCTTCTTTGGGGTGGCCCCTGGCACCTCTGCTACCACCAATCCCAATGCCATGGCCACAATCCAGAGCAACACCCTTTTCACCAATGTGGCCGAGACCAGTGATGGTGGTGTGTACTGGGAAGGCATTGACCAGCCTCTTCCACCTGGTGTCACTGTAACCTCTTGGCTCGGGAAGCCCTGGAAACCTGGTATGTGGGTGAGGACGTTAGGAAAAGGGCCCTAGGACTCAGAATTTTTTTTTTTTTTTTAATGTAGATGTGTGTTTTGCCCACAAGTGGATCATATGCATTGCAGTGAACAGGGCATCAGGTTCTGTTGTGAGCCACCATGTAGGTGTTGGGAATAGAACCTGTGTCTCCAGCCTTAACAATTTTAACAGGGAAAAAACCCTCTACAACCCTAGCTTTTTGTAGTTTCCAACACCAGACAGGATCTGTTCATGTTAACCGAGCAGTGGTGGTGCATGTCTTTAATCCCAGCATTCAGGAGGCACAGGCAGGCAGATCTCTGTGAGTTCGAGACGAGCCTCATCTACACAGTGAGTTCCAGGACAGGATCCAAAGCCACAGAGAAACCCTGTCTCTGGGAGAAAAAAAAAAGAGATCTGCTTGTGCCCCTGATCCATTAATCATTGCTTGGGGATCTAAGTAATTACTTAACTTCCCTTAAGTCTTCCCAGCCACTTGAATGGGGTTTATCATAGCACTCACCTGTTGTGATTATGGAAGGCTTAAATAATACATAAGAGGAGTTTAACATGCTGTCAAATACATAGCACTTGTTAATAGTAAATATAAGCTGGGGTTGTGAGGGAAGAACTACTTGGAAAACTGCCACAGAAGGAATTGGGCCAGTGACATTTGGCCTGTTTGGAAAGAAGAAACCCTGTCTTCTTTGCCACTTGGATAATGTGTTCCCTTGCTTATGCCAGTATCTGAAGTTACCCTACCCTTCCATCCCTTGCTATACTGTAATCCTTCTGCATGAACTCAGGCTAGCACTTTACACTGTCCTGGAGAATGATTTCCTGACCCTGTCATTACCAGTGTGCCTTAGAGAACCATCCCTCCCCAAGCCTTGCCCTCTCAACAACCAGCTTTCTACTTCCTGCTGCAGTTACAGGGAAAGAGCACAGCAGAGGAAGGGCTTGTGGTCACTGAAGGCCTGAGTGTTCCATTTGGCCTAGCAGTCAACCTCCTTTTGATCCGCCTTTATTTTCTCTAACACCATCATTAAGTCCCCCACAGTATCCCCACCCAACTGAGAAATCCAAAAACGATAATCTTCCCTACAGGCTTGTTTCCCAAGCCTTTCATCAACTCTGAATTCACTGATACAACTAGAGAGTCTTTAGTTCCCAGAACCATAAACACCCTGCACCAGGGTCCTAGGCTGGGGGGTGGCAGGGACAGACTTGCTGACCCATGGCTCCCTCACGCCCTACTTCCAGTCTGACCATCATCTTCCAGTGGAGAAGGCACTGTGCCAGTTCGGTGTCCCCAGTGATGCTCACGTGAGCCTCTCTCCCATATACCTAAAGGTGTCAAATGCTCTGCGCTCCTCACGTTATGTCCCTGATTGACTTACCCAAACCTACCACTCTGTCAGGGTCTGGGCAGGCCCAGAGAAATAACCAAAGTTCTATTAGTTTACAACAATGATTGGCCTAGCATGGAGGCTCAGCATGTTAAAGTGCTGATGACCTGAGTTAGATTCTCCAGGACCCTCGTGGAGGAAGAAAACTGAACAAGTTGTCCTCTGACTTCCACATGCATGCTATGGCAACCCCTAGCCCCCATCATGACAAACAAATAAATATGTGTAATAAAAGCAAGTCCTGTTTGCATTTTGATAGCTCAGGAGATTATCTTCCTTGGTTTGTTAATGAAGAGCCAATTGCTTGAAATACTGATCTGACATTCTTGGGTTTTGCTTTAGGGTTAGGAAAATTAGTTTGGGAAATAATAATTCTGTAAATAAAGTTTCTGGGAATAAAATTATTATGACCTCATGCCAGTATCTGCTTCCTTAAGTCTCAGTCAATGCCAAGTATCCAAAGTGCCCTGTCAAATCCCAGTTCCTCTCCCACTCATGTCTAGCAGTACCATCATTGATGGATAAATAGCCTGATCTTTATGGGAAGAGGTCCTGGATTCCCTCTCTCTTTTTCCTTACCACACATTATAAGCAGCTGATGAAACTGAAAGAAACCTTCCTTGCAAGGGCTGGAGACAGAGCTCAGTGGTAAAAGACTTGTCTAGCACGTGTAAGATCTCAGGTCAAGCCTCGGCATCATGAAAAGAAAACAAGAAAATATATATCACAGTGTATGCTCATATATATCAGTGTTGAGAGTGGATATGCATTTCCTCTGGCAGGTGACAAGGAACCTTGTGCACATCCAAATTCACGATTTTGTGTCCCGGCTCGCCAGTGTCCCATCATGGACCCAGCCTGGGAAGCACCAGAGGGTGTCCCTATTGATGCCATCATCTTTGGAGGCCGCAGACCCAAAGGTAAACAGCATGTGGACTGTGTGCCTCTGTAGTAAAAGGTCCATCTCTGCAGTCACTCCAACCTTCCTGTACTTACAACTCACAACCAGCTGCTGCTGTCTATCCCCTTCTCCCATGGTGAATGCAAAATTTGTAGGAAACGGGTTGTCTATAAACCTGTTCATTGGTGTTCTAGGAGTACCTCTGGTGTATGAAGCCTTCAGCTGGCGCCATGGGGTGTTTGTAGGTAGCTCCATGCGCTCCGAGTCCACCGCAGCTGCTGAACACAAAGGTGAGTTTACATCTCTGTCCCTGCTCCCACATTGGTCCACCTCGACTGCCTTTCTCCCATCCCTTCTCTTCACTTTCCCTGAAGGTATTTCAGAACTGGGAACTTTTACCCAACCTCTGCCAGCTGGACACAAGGTCCCCTTCCCATCCCTACCCTCCTTTATGTCCTAGGAAAGATCATTATGCATGATCCCTTTGCCATGCGGCCTTTTTTTGGCTATAACTTTGGACACTATCTCCAACACTGGCTGAGCATGGAGGGACACAAAGGAGCCCGGCTGCCTCGTATCTTCCACGTTAACTGGTTCCGGCGAGATGAAGCAGGCCGCTTCCTGTGGCCAGGTTTTGGGGAGAATGCTCGTGTGCTAGACTGGATCTGCAGACGATTAGAAGGAGAAGACAGTGCCCAAGAGACTCCCATTGGGCTAGTACCGAAGGAAGGAGCCCTGGATCTCAATGGCCTCAAAGCAATAGACACCATTCAGCTGTTCTCTATCCCCAAGGACTTCTGGGAACAGGAGGTTCGTGATATTAGGAGCTACCTGACAGAGCAAGTTAACCAGGATCTGCCCAAAGAGGTGCTGGCTGAGCTGGAGGCTTTGGAGGGGCGTGTGCGAAGAATGTGACCTGAGGCTCTAGGCTAGCAAGAACATGGCACCCCCACCTGGGTATGGAACTCCCAGGCTCATAGAAAACAAGAACAATTTGATATTAAAGTGTGTGAGTGTTGGGAGGCCAGGCCACAGACCTCCTCCCATGATGTCTGATAAGAAATTCACGTTTATTTTATACGTCTGTGTTGTTTTCCCTTCCCATTTGTCTTCGTAGGCTTCCTTCTGATACTGGTCTCTTACTCACAGTAAGAACTTTCAGAAGAAGGCATTATTCATGTGAAGAATGTAGCCTGGTATGGAGATGCACGCCTTTAATCTAGAGGCAGCCTGACCTCAGGAAGTATGAAGCCAGCATGCCTGGTCAACATGCCAAGTGCCAGGCCAGCCGGGGCTACAGAGTAAAGATCAGTCTTTGGAGGGTGGGGACACAGCAGACTGCTCAGTGTCTAGGTTAGGGTTCTTTGTTCCACACAGACATGCAGAAACTTCATTCTGCAGTGATGCATCTCCATTGCTGGTTCTTATGCTGGTTTCCTCCTGCCTGACACAAACCAGGAGCTATTTTTTCTTTTTTTTAAACTTGAGACAAGGTCTCATGAAGCCCAGGCTGGCTTCAAACTCACTGTGAAGTTAGAGTGACCCTGCACCCCTGACCCTCTCTGTCCCTACTGGCAAGCATACCACCGAGGCCAGCTAGACAGCAGCACTTCTAGAGCACTGTGTAGACTAGGCACCATTCTAAGCACGTTATGAATAGGAACTTTCATAACTTTCACAGCTCAAAATACAGAGTTGGACTGAGCATAATGGTGCAACTTAAAATCCTAGTACTTGAAGGACCCTAGCCTATCACCACAGCAAGAGAATTGTATACATAACCCTATTTACAAAGAAAGAAAACCATAAACCAGAGATTATCCAATGAATGGCCCACAACTTTGTCCATATGAACAGCAGAGGTCTATTTTAAAAAAAAAGACTTGACGTTCAGAGGGGAACATGTTGAAAAGGGTCTGGGAAAGACAGGAGAGGGGAGGAGAATTTGATCAAAAGACACTGTATACGCATAAAACTCTCAGATAATAATAATAATATATGAGAAAAAGAGGAAAACCTTCAAACAAAATGGAATTCCTAGAAAACCCCTCAGAAGAAATAACTGGATGAGGAAATGCTGAGTGTTCTCCAAGGAGAAAATGGTGGAAAACTAGTCAAGGAAGAAAGGTTTACTAAAGGTCAGGGTGAACCACACAACAGAACGCCGAATGGAATACACTACACATAAAAATACAGCTGGTGGGAAGGTTGATCGGGTCTTAAGTTACAGCATAAGCAAGGTCTAACGTTCTGCTGCACTGTAAGGTAGCTATGGATAATGTCACAAAAGAGCTGAAGCACCAGGGGTGGTGGCACAGCCTTTAATCCCAGCACTCAAAAAACTCAAGAGTTCGAGGCCAGCCAGGTCTACAGAGCAAGTTCCAGGACCGCTGGGGGAGAGACCCTGTCCCAGAAATACAGAGAACTGAAGGACTTTGACTTTGTTTTTACCACAAAGAAGTGATGTTTGAGGGGCAGTTCATCCTAATTTGAACATTACACAGTGTACACATGCCTCTATACATCACATGATGCATCATAAATATGCACAATCTTACTCCAAAAGAAATGGCATCATTTCTAAATATCAGTAAACACAGCCAGGTCCTTATCTTCATAAATAGCAAGGGGTAAAACCAATGCTGTCAGCACACAGTGGCTCTGTCCCTTCATCTGTAGAATGGCAATGTGCCTCTAGCTCACAATGCTGGCATAACTGGGTCAGTGGAGTAAAGCACCTAACAAGCAGCAACAAACATTCAAGACAGCTAGCTGTCAGCTCCTCTCCACTCCGTGATGACTAGAGTTGGCCCTTTAAGCCTGCATTGTGGAGCTGGCAGCATTTAAGAGGAAAAGGGGCAGTGAGAATTTTTAGGAGAAAAGAGATAGATTCAGAAATGGGGCCTCCGGGAAAGAGGCAGGGAACTGGAGCTCCAGATGCCTTCTCTGGACTCAACTACAAGGACCAAGGTCTTTGCCTTCAACATGGCTTTTTGCCAATAAAATTGGATCTCATGTCAGATAAATAGAACATGATCAAGGTATTTTGAGTTTTGGGGCTGGCTGGCTTACTTGGGGTTATACTGTTTTGTTTGGAGTTTGTATGTTTTAGACAAGGTTTCCTATAGCCCAGATTGGTGTCAAACTGGTTACAGGACCTTGCAGTGAATTCCTGATCCTTACCATGCCCAGCCTTCATTTTAGTTTTGGTTCCCTCCCTCCTTCCCTTCCTTTCTTCTTTTTAGTTTTTTTGCAGTACTGAGAACTGAGTACTTTGCAGTACTGAGCATTGAATCCAGGGCCTCGGGAAGGTTAGGCAAGTGATCTTATACTCCAGGGTTTGGTTTGTAAGGTAGGTCCCATTTTGCAGCCCTGCCTACATTGGTGTTCTCCGTTCTCCTGCCTCAACTCCTAAGTAGTGGAATTACAGGCATGTGCCACCATATCCAGCCAGAAAACACAGGTGTAATTTAATAAACTTAGAATCATCCTTGAAAACATTACCCAGAGAAAATAGAACTTTGATACCAAAATGCCCCTATATCATAGCTCTTCCCTTTTGTCACAGATAAAATTATGATGAACAGCAATCATGTCCTTGCATACTTGTAGTTTTCTCACCCAAATGTAGACACTTATGCACTATGGCTCAGCCTTCCCTTGTCTGTTAACTGTACAATGTTTGGGGTTCATTCAACCCAGGGCCGTCTGTGCATGCTAAGCAAGTGTTCCACACATAGCAACACCTTCAATCATTGTTTTGCTTTGTTTCTCAAAAAAAAAAAAAAATAGCTTAGACTGGACTTATTTTTGCTATGTGGCCCAGGCTGATCTCAAACCATCTCCCTGCCCAGCTTTATATATATTTCTTAGGTAGTCGAATCTATCAAATCACAGATTTCTCCTGTATTTTTTTTTTTCAAGTTAGCCATTGGGAGAATATAGACATGGATATTCAATGGCTGGATTAATTGATGTACTAGGAACTGGGAAGCAAACACACTCAGGCTATGTTTTAAGAACTGGAATATGGGCTGGAGAGATGGCTCAGAGGTTAAGAGCAGTGGCTGCTTTTCCAGGGGTCCTGGGTTCAATTCCCACCAACCACATGGAGGCTTACAACCATCTGTAATGAGGTGTGGTACCCTCTTCTGGCAGGCAGGTCTAAATGTAGACAGAACACTGTACAATATAGTTTTAATAAGTATTTTTTTGAAAAAGAGCTAGAATACATTTTATAAAGAAATGCATCTCTCAATCTTTTATTTCATTGCCTTTGGCATAGTTTATATGAACAGCACAGTTGTTACTTATTCTCCTTTATTCACCATCTTTAAAATGACTTAGTCTCCTATTTGTTTTTTTGTTTTGTGGTTTTTGTTTGTTTTCTGAAACAGACTCACATATCCCAAGCTGAACTTGAATTTTCTATATAGCCAAGAATGATCTTGAATTGCTGGTCCTCCTGACTCCTATCTCCAGAGACAAGCCCAAACCACCAAGGTAGGATGACACAGTGCTGGCAATGGCACCCAAAGTCTTGTGTGCTAGGCAAATGCTCTACCAACTAGTCTACATTCCCCAGCCTATTGCCTTTCAAAATGATAGCCACTTAGTTAAAACAGCACACACAATGAACTTCTAGTTTTAACCACTGCATTTAATACATTATATTTACTAATGCTCAAATCCTCTCACCTTCAAAGATAGAAACTTGGTTGAGTCATTTTAACAGAATCCTAATAGTTCCTGTTCCTCTACTGACATGGATTGTATATTATCGTGTATATTTTATGCCCCCAACCTAGAATCAACCAGCCCCCAAGAAACTGGAGTCTTTCAGTAGGAAACAGGATTACAAATCTACAAACTCCCAAACATGGTGGCACACATCTGTAACCTCAGACAAGGACAATAGTTTGAGACCAGTCCAACAATATAACCCCGACATAGTGCCCAGGCTGGTCTTAAATTCCTAGTTGCTGGGACTACAGGTACTAGCCACCACACCCAGGTTTGATTTGTCTCAAAAAAAGACAACAGGGCTAGCAAGATTGCTCAGTGGGTAAAGATGCCTGCTGCCAAGCCTGATGACCTGAATTCAATCCTTAGACCCACACAGTAGGAAAGAACCAATTCTCCTCTACACATTCACATACCCACCACATATAACATACACACACACACACACACACACAGGTGCACATAAATAAAACTTGGAAAAGCCAGGAAATGGTGGCTCCTGACTTTAATGCCAGCACTCAGAAGCCATAGGTATGCAAATCTCTGTCAGTTCAAGGCCAGCCTGGTCTACAGAGTGAGTTTCCAGGACAGCCAGGACTGTTTCACAGAGAAACTCTGTCTTGAAAAACAATAATAATAATAATAATAATACAACTTGTAAAAATAGAAAACATAATCTGTACACTGTGTGTTCATGGATCTGTCATATTTTCTAGACTTTTCCAGTGATAAGAAAGATAAAACAATTGTATTGGTTACTTTTCTATTGCTGTGATAAGGCACCATGACAAGGCAATCTATGGAAAATTTTATTTGGGCCTCTGGTTCCAGAAGGGTAAGACCGTGATGAGGGTGCTGGAGAGATGACTCAGAGAGTAAGTATACTTGCTGCTCTAGCAGAGGATCTAGGTTCAAACCCCACCATGGTGGTTCACAATCATCCATGACTCCATTTCCAGGGATCCTACATGTGATCTCAGTGGACATGAATCATGTACATGGTGTATATACATCTATGCAGGCAAAATACTCAGGCATGAAATTAATAATTTTTAGCCTGATGGTGGTGGCTGCCGAGGTGGTGACAGGGGCACAGACCTCTAATCCCAGCGCTCAGGAGACAGAGTAGAATACTAAGAGCTCACATCTTAAACAGAAAGCAGGAAGCAGAGACTGGGAAGTGGGGACAACATGGACTTTGAAACCTCAAATTTTTGAAATCTTAGAGCCAGCCCCAAGTGACTTACCTTCTAAAACTACCCAAACAGGGACCAAGTGTTCAGATAACAGAGACTATTGAACATTCAAACTACCTCAACCCTTCATAACCCTGTATTACTGTTCAAATCAGGATTACCAGCTGGTCAGGTGGTGTACACCATTGGAAGAATGAGGTGGGAGGTGGCAAGTTCAGGGCTACCCTGGGACATCCTCAATGAGACCTTGTCTCAAATTCAAAAGTAAAAACAAAGAACTAGAGGTGTAGTTCCATTGTAGAATAGTTTGTAACGAGTATGGTTTTTCCTCCCACCGCTGGTCTTGTCCCGCCGCTGCGCCAGCCCCAAGTAACACACAGAGATTCTGTATTTGATATTACTGTTGGCCACTTACTAGTTTCTTATCGGCTAGCTCTGTGTTAATTATTAACCCATTTCTGCTGATCTATGTATTTCTCTTACCGGGGAGCTGGCCGGCATATTGCTTTCTCCAGACTCTCCATCTTGACCCCCGCCTACTACTACCTCTTTCCTCCTTGTCTCCTAGTCTCGCCTATCTTCCTTTCCTATTGGCCAACAGTGCTTTATTCATTAACCAGTATAAGAAACATTTACAGAATGACATCTCCCATCAATAGTTGCCTAGCATGCACACAGCACTGTATTCAAACCCCAGAACCAAATACACACTAAAATAGGGTTACAGGCTTTACTTCTGTAAAACAACACACACACACACAAACACACCATGTGAAGGGTGAATATGTTTTGAGACTACCTGTGGAGGCAAGACTCTGTGTGAATGGCTGGTCAGCTTGCATATATATCTGTGTACATATGCATCAGAACTGGAGTTACAGACAGTTGTGAGCTGCCATTCTTGTGGGTGCTGGGTTAAAAGCTGGGTCCTCTAAAAGAACAGCAAGGGCTCTTAACCACTGAGCCAACTATCCAGCCCTTACCCCAAAAACCTAGTTCGTAAGAACCTACGATGGCTGTGGATATAACCCATTTGGTAAACTACTTCCCTAGCATTCATGAAGCCCCAGGTTCAATCCAAGTTCCCAGAACTCACACATGAGAGGCAGGGAGACCAAGTTCAGGGTTATCCTCAGCTACATGGTGAGTTCCAGATTGGCCTAGGCTACATGACATGCTGAGAGAGAGAGAGAGAGAGAGAGAGAGAGAGAGAGAGAGAGAGAGAGAGAGAGAGTGTTAGACTATCTGGTCATATCCAATTACTCTCTAATAAATTAGCACATTCTTCCCCTTCCATCTCATGCAGAAAATGCTACCTACAGTAAAAAAAAAAAAAACACTTGCGTAGGCACCAGTCACTTCAGAAGACTGAACTCATTTCAAGTACCAGGAGATACCCATCCAGAGGCTCCTGTTGAATGAAACCAGAGAAAAGCTGTGTAACCGTCCCGGAAATGAAAACTTGCTGTCCTTTCCTCCACAGACAGGTCGCCCTCTAGTGGAGCTGCTCAAGGACAATAAACAAGAGAGGGCCAAACCTGGTGGAACAGGAAGTTAATCAACTGCTATTTACTTAGTAATTATCAGACATATCCCAACTGAAAAAAAGCAACTTAGTGTGGCTGGGGAAAGCAGAAGCTGCTCAGAATCAAGGAACTTAACTCATCAAGCTTTGAAAGGCCAAGAACATGCCCAAATGACCTTTTTGTGGGGGTGCTACCCCATGCCAAAAATACAACTTATCTATTGTGATCTTTCTCCTCTTCTTAGCACTTAATTTTGCTTAGACCTAGTCATAGTGCAACTCAGTCAATAAAGTGTAAGCAGGGGAACCTAAACCCAGATCCCCAGCACCCACCTAAAACAATCCAGCAATGTTCACATCACAAGTCTGAAACCCTAGGGCTAATGATGGAACAGGAGAGTCCCTGTGGCTTGCTGGCTAGCTAGCATGGCCAATCAGCTAGCTACAGGTTCGATGAGAGGTTCTATCTCCAAAAAAAAAGTTGGTAAAAAAATTAAGACATGAAAGTAGGAGAGGGTTTGTAGGAGGGATATCAGAGGGATCAAGATACATCGTATACATGTATGAAATTGTCAAAAGAATAAATAAGTTGGAAATTTTATTGTGGAAGATACCAAACATCCATTTCAGGCCTCTACACAAACTGGTACACATGTGCACATCCACCGGAACACACCTGAACATGCACACAGAAAGGTAGTAAGGAAATTAATTTTACAGACCTCTTTTCTGGACGTTTAGGTGTTATAATTGTATTGATAACAATGTTTTGTTCATGTTACATCTTTGCTGTCATGTACAAGACCCTGTCCATTTTATTATTGAATTACATAATGAACTTGGATTTTTTTTTTCTTCACTGCTATCTAATTGGGTGGGTGTAGGTGAGTAGGGAACTATACTGTGGAGTTCAGAGAACAACTGTGGGAATCCATTCTCTCTCCTTCTACATGTGAGTCCCAGGGACTGTATTCAAGCCATAAGACTTAGTAGCAAGCCCCTTTACCTGACAAAGCTGAACATCTCACAGGCCCAAACTTGGTTATTTTTATACTTTATAAAGAACTGTAGCAGTGCTGGTTTTGTTTTGTATGTGTGCTGGAGATTTAACCCAGTGTACAGCAAATGCCAGGACAGCACTACCCCACAGAGACCTATTCCCAACCCATTACAAAACTCATTTCAGTGGCTACCTGGTATTTCCTATCTGTATAATGCTGACCACAATTTATTTAACCAACCTCTTAATGTATATTTGGATTTCTTTTCTTTTCAGTGCTCCACTATTATCAGTAACCGTTAAGCAGACTTTATGCAGGTTTTAGTTTGATTGTTGACAGTACTACTAGGTCAAAGTTCAGGCTCTTTGCCTATTAGGACCAGTAAAAATAAAGCATTTCTCAGATAAGAAATTCTAGAAAGGTGCACAAGTAGAAAGACACTTATAGGCACATTTGATTGTCAGAAAAAAAAATTTTTAAACGAAGTTAGTAAAAAGACAATCAGGTTGGAAAGTCTGTATTTAAAGTAATAAAAAAAATGGTTTAAAAAAATCACTGGTCAGTTTCGAACATAGAAATACTGTTAAATTGCCTCTTGGCCTTTTGGCTGAGATCAAGTGTAGAAATCCTGTTGGCCTTTTGGCTGAGATCAAGTGTAGAAATCCTGTTAAGAGGCTAGTTGAGCCTGGTGGTGGGGGCGCACACCTTTGATCCAAAGCACGTGGGAGGCAGACACAGGCGAATCTCTGTGAGTTTGAGGCCAGCCTGGTCTAGAGGGAGTTCCAGGACAGGCTCCAAAGCTGGAGAGACTAGGTGGGTGGATGGGTAGGTAGGTAAAGGAAGGAAGGGAAGGAGGGAAGGAAGGAAAGGAGAGAACAGGTGAGCAGATCAACGAGTGGGAGAGGTTTTAAGTGGGGGAAATTACAACTGTGAAAATAATCTCAAGTAATCATTAAAAAATATTTACATAACTTGGAACATTTTAAGGAGTAACAAGGAAGGAAAAATACTTTTAAAATTATAGACTTCCCAGATACCTCGGATTCTAGAAAGCTCGGTGTGTGTTAGAAATACTGTCCACATTAACTTATGGAAACCAGCCAAAAAACAAAAGGCTGAACGCTTGTTAAAGTAAAGAATTTTAGGGCAGTGACAGCAGAAAGGGAAACCAAGCGCAGAGACGCTAGGCACCGTAGGCAGTTCAACAATTCACGGTTGAGTACGGGAGAAAATGTTGTGGTCTCCGGCTCAGAGACCAGGCAAACACCCACAGGTCCTGCCACATACTCGTCCAGGAAGCTGAAGTGTCCTCACAGTGGCCTGGCTCTGGGCCAAGGCCTTCGGCCTGAGGAACCGTCCAGACGTGGTGGGGCCTCGGACGCGACCTTGTTATTCATAAACCCGCGGGAGGCGGCGCGCGAGCAAAGCCTAGGAAAGGTCTGCAAAACCCGGAGAGAGCGCGTGCGCACTAACGCAACCGGAAGGCTCCCAGGCAGGCTGCGGGATTTAGGGAGCGTCTGCAAAGACCGGGAAAGGAAGCTAGGGGTCGTCTAACAAGACTGCCGCGGGTAAGTGGGTTCACAGCAGGGTGAGGCGCCTGGGTCCCACCTGTGAAGAAGACTGCTTTCGGGCAGGCCTCTGGTGCTTCAGCCTCGGGAAAACGCTGGGTTGGCAGGGAGCTGAGTGAAAAGGAGTGGCTGGGCGTGCAATTAAAAAAAAAAACACTCGAGGCCAAGCGACCTTAAGGGACCTCCGCGCAGCCATTACATCTAGTTCGGCTCCCTCTAATGCACGCCACAGCCAATTCCCGTCCGCTACGAATGAACGCCCCTCTAGGGTCACGCACTTTCTCCAGCCCACCTATCAATCAACTGACTCAGTTGTCCAAACAGCGGGCCGAGGGGCGGGGCTGCGAGGAGCGTCGAGTGACGTAAGCACCCGCCGGCCTGGCAGCCGGATCCCTGACGGGTGAGGCTCGCGACTTGAGCTGTTAGGGGGGCAGTCGGTGTAAACAGGGCCTCGCCCCTGCGGGCCCTGCGACGGCTCCAGGCTGCTGGGTGGTTTCGCGTGGGGCGGTAACCGCCGGCCGCCGGGGGAGGTGCTTCTCCGCTCTCCCTCCCCCTGCTGCACACACCCCCGGCGCACCACGTGGGCGTGAAGCTAACCTGGAGGGGTGTTAGGCTGACTCCTAGCTTCATTGGCTGTCGCTGCTGCCGCCACTCGCGAGAGATTGTTCTAAGTTCTAATGCTTCTGGTTGGTTACCTGAGATAAGCTCGTGAGGCGCGTTCTTCCGCAAGGGGCTTTGATTGGTCGGCCGGAGAGGTTATCTGGGATTCGGCCAGCCCCAGCCGGGGACTTTGATAGGTGAGTTTGGGTAGGAAAGTGGGGAATTACTCTTTATGGCCTCCCATTAACAAGCCAAGGTTGCACCCTCGGTTTCAAATGGCTTTCTTTGCTTCACAGGATTGAGAAAGGTTTTTATTCCCGAAACCTCGGGAGCTGTCATAGCTAAAGAAAAGGAAATGAGTCTCCAGGAGGGGTTACCTCTCTAAAGATAGCTACTGCCCCGTTTCTGGAAACCCTGGTATTTCTAGAGCAGAAATTAATTACTTTCACCAAACCCAAGTTGGTGACAGGAGCAGCCCCTGTACAGGACATAAGGATGCTGTAACCAGAAGATGGGATCGCGGAACAGTAGCAGCGCAGGATCCGGGTCCTTAGAGCCCTCCGAGGGCTTGTCCCGAAGAGCGGCAGGCCTGCGTCGGAGTGAAGAAGAAGAGGAGGATGAAGATGTGGATCTGGCCCAGGTACTGGCCTATCTCCTCCGCAGGTAACTTACCCTGTGCTGACACTGCTAAGTGTCACCACAGTCTCTTGATCTCAACTCCAGGCAGGAAAGGTGCAGAGGGTAGCGCAGGACAACGGTCGTGTTTGAAGAGAACGACCGTTCCCTGCTGGATGCCCATATTTACTACTCAGCTCCATACCCAGAATGGTTCCTACCTAGTGGGGCAGGTCACTAACACACTCAGATCTTGTGTAGAGGGGCTCCCCGGGGGAGCCTCTTTGGCTGTAACAACACAAATTTGGTTTGTTTTTTGAGAAAATAAAAGGAGAAAACAGGTAGAGGGTGTGGAGGAAAGGAGAGTTGGGAAGGGGGTGTTAAATCACTTGCCATATGAGATGAAGCCATGTGGATTTACTTGAAAAACAAGTTTAAATCGACCTTACTAGCCCTGATCTTAAGAAAAGAATGCTCTGAAGGGGGTGACCACCAGGAACTGATAAAAAGTGTTTACCTGGCTTTGTTTGCCTGTGGTTCCTTGGGAAAAGATGAGCCTGGTAACCCTGCAGGATATTGTGCTCTGTGCTGTCTCCTACAGCAATGGCAGTGAGGGTTGGACTGGATCAGAATCACCCAGGAGACAGCACACCTCTGATGGATTATTTAGCCTCTGGGCAGGCCTGGGAGGGATTACAGTGATTAGGTTCATTGAAGCAGAGAGATCCAAGCTGAATGTGGGTAGCACGTTCCTAGGGCTACTATATGAAAAGGAGCAATCTAGCTAAACTTGATCGTTCATCCATCTCCACTTCCTGGCCCTTGATGTCCCTGCTATGATGGACTCTACCCTGAACTGTGAGCCAACACAAACCTTTTGTCTCTTCGGTTGCTTTCATCAGGGTATTCTTTCACAGCAGGAAAAGACAGGAAGGGCAGGTGGGAGTGCTGTTTTAGCGCTTGAACTAGAACTACAGCTCAGTGGTGGAAGCTCACCTAGTGTGCACTGAAGTGCTGGGTTCAAGCCTCCTGAGGGAAAGTAATGTTTCCCTCTGTGAGAAATCAATTTAGTGAGTCAGTCTTTATAAACTGGTTAGAATTCTATATACATTGGTGTTCTACTATGCCTTTTTGTTTAATTGGGGTTTTTTGTTTGTGGTTTGGTTTGTTTGTTTTTCGAAATAGGGTTTCTCTGTGTAGCCCTGGCTGTCTTGGAACTCGCTCTGTAGACCAGGCTGAACTTCAACTCAACAGAGCTCCACCTGCCTCTGCCTCCTGAGTGCTGGGATTAAAGGTGTGCGCCACTGCTATGTGCACCATGCCCTACTATGTTTTATAGGAGACTTAAAATAACAGCCAAGGTCTCGTCAGTCTCAAACTTCAAAATGAGGACCAAATGTACTAAGAGCTAGATAGCCATCCACTAGATGGGGGATGGGATGCACCCCCCCTATAATGGGATCTCTCCACAGAGGCCAAGTGAGGTTGGTACAAGGAGGAGGTGCAGCAAATCTACAACTCATCCAGGCCCTCTCTGACTCAGAGGAAGAGCATGACAGTGCCTGGGATGGTCGCCTTGGAGATCGATACAACCCACCTGGTAAGAAGAGAGCCAATCTAATCTTTTTTTTGGTTTTGTGTTTTGTTTTTGAGATAGGGTCTCTTTTCTAGAACTCTGGTGTAGACCAAGCTGCTCTCAAAGTCAGAAGTTTGTCTACCTCTACCTGCCTCTGCCTCCTGAGTCCTGGAATTAAAGGCATGTGTAACTGACAATTAATTTTAATGTTGGGATATGTTCACTAGACCACTTTTACTTTTAAAAGTAATTAATCTTCGATGGGCAGTGGTGGCACATGCCTGTAATCCCAGCACTTGGGAGGGAGAGGCAGGTGGATCTCTGAGTTCAAGGCTAGCCTGGTCTACAAAGAGAGTTCCAGGACAGCCAAGGCTACACAGAGAAACTCTGTCTTGGGGTGGGGGTGGGGAGAGTAATCCCCTATTAAAGCTTAATAGGTTAAATTGAAAGGCCATAATTGATGGGATGAGGGGATCCTTGTAGCCAACCATACTGAGTACGTACAATTTTGCTGACTATCTTCTGGGCTGGAAGTTCTGTAATGAAACTCCTTCTTGGTACTGGCAGTGGATGCAGCCCCTGACACTGGGGAGCTGGAATACAATGAAATCAAGACACAGGTGGAATTAGCCACGGGGCGGCTAGGACTCAGGAGGACTGCCCAGGAGCACAGCTTTCCTCGGATGTTACACCAGGTAGGCTTTTCCACCTCCAGCCTGGCAGCAGATCTGTTCAGGCCAGAAGCTCTGCCAGCCCCAGACAAACAGAAGTAAATTTCCCAAGGAGACCTCAAGTTCAGGGGCTGGCATGTGTTAGCCAGCCTGCACCCTAGTGCTGGGGAACATTTTTTCTGTAGCAAGAGAAATATCCTTGGAGGAGGGGCTTGGTGTGACTGCAGTGGCCCTCCAATTCTGCTAGCAATATTCCCCAATCCCTTCCATTTAGAGAGAACGGGGCCTCTGCCACCGGGGAAGCTTCTCCCTTGGAGAACAGTCTCGAGTGATGTCTCAGTGAGTATGGGGTTCGCTGGAGATACTGTAAGGGCCAGCTAGACCTTAGCTCCTACACTTTGAAGGATAGAAGTTAAAGGCTTCTCAGAAATAGTAAGGCTAGGCTAAAGGGGGTTGAAGCTTTGAGAATAAACAAAATAGAAACATGTAAACAATGACAGAACAGATGAAAGGGAATGTGCTGCCATTCTATTCTGCTGATTGGGTTCTTCTCACTCGAGCTCCCTTACCCTCTTTCCTTCTGCTTCTCTAGCTTCTTGCCCAATGACCTAAGCTTCACTGATACCTACTCTCAGAAGGCTTTCTGCGGCATCTACAGCAAGGATGGTCAAATCTTCATGTCTGCTTGCCAAGGTACTAGACCCCAGTCTTAGTAACTGCCTTAACCTAGAGCAAAGAATACTGTCAGCTGGACCAGGAAGCCTCAGACCCAGGGGACTCAAAGACTGGCTTAGAGATGCTTAGGCCAGAGCATGGTTTCCTTGATAAAGCAAAAGATATCTGATGTAGAAGACTACAATGAGAATAGTTCATAATTCTGCCTGAAATCAACTCTACAGATCAAATAATCCGATTGTACGACTGCCGATATGGCCGCTTCCATAAATTCAAAAGCATCAAGGCCCGGGATGTGGGCTGGAGTGTCTTGGATGTGGCCTTCACTCCTGATGGAAACCACTTCCTGTACTCCAGCTGGTCTGATTACAGTGAGTATGCACCAAATTTCTGCAGGGTCTCCAGCTCGGGACCTGAGGCCTCCAGTCCCCTTCTCTCTGAGAAGATACCATGCTTTGCCCTCGGAAAATCTCTCCCTAAGTGCTCTAATATGCTGTTTGTTCTTCTCCTTCTTAGTTTTTCTCCCATTCTCTTTCCTCAACCCTAAAGAATTCTTGTTTCTCTTCTCTTAGTTCATATCTGCAATATCTATGGGGAAGGAGACACACACACTGCCCTGGATCTAAGGTATTGGCTTTTTCTTGTCAGACTCATCAGAAGCTTCTCAAGGAAGGCTTTCCAGGAGCACCTCTCAAACAGGAGCTCCCACCTAGACAGAAAAGTAAACAGGTTGCCAGGTTCTGTGTGTGGCTTCCTGAGAGCATTGCCCACCTGTGAGCCCTAGTTACAGGGTTCTCACAGGTGATCCTCATGCTAGCATGAGCTCTCAGGCCCTCTGTGTCTACCTCCTCATTATAATCCTTGTCAGATTCTTTGTAGATTGACAAAAAGTGAAAGGACATCCACTTAGTGTAGCTCCTCCTTTGCTTTCTCTAGGCCAGAAGAGCGTCACTTTGCTGTCTTCTCCATCGCTGTCTCCTCAGATGGACGAGAAGTACTGGGGGGGTGAGTGAGCATTGTGGGAAATGTCTACCTTGGTTAGTGAGGTGAGAGTTCTGCCAGAGGTAGGTTCTGCTGTTACAGAAACTACACTAGCAACTATGGAAGACCAGCTTCCCTCCTCTAAGATCAAGGTTTCACTCTTGCTCACCATTACCCCCTGTGAGATGTCAGGTCTTGCGCCTCCTCAAAAACTAAACTGCTGCTTCTCCCATATGGGAAAGAACACACACACACTCCTTGGCTGAGTTCCTCAGCAGGACCCTCATGAGCACACAGAGCAATAGTCTTAGCTCTAGGACCCTCTTATCTCATTTCTTACAGAGCCAATGATGGCTGCCTGTATGTCTTTGACCGAGAACAAAACCGGCGTACTCTTCAGGTATTGTTGTGAGACGAGCCCCTCCTCCTCCTGTCATTGATCTGTTTTTAGACTAGAAAGGCATGCTAAGATCCTTAGCTCCCTGCTCCTCTAGATTGAATCTCACGAGGATGACGTGAATGCAGTGGCGTTTGCTGACATAAGCTCCCAGATCCTGTTCTCTGGGGGAGACGATGCCATCTGCAAAGTGTGGGACCGACGCACTATGAGAGAGGATGACCCCAAGCCTGTGGGTGCACTGGCTGGACACCAGGATGGCATCACTTTTATTGACAGCAAGGTGAGCAAGGCAACAAGACTCATAACCAGGCTCTCAAGGTGCTGGAGGGTATGACAGTGGACTGGTATGGAAACTCAAAAGTTCCTTCTCAGGGTGTGCAGGAACTGGAGCTTAGGATACATGCTTCAGCCAAGAAACATGAGTTTCTTCTGTACTCGTCAGGCTGCAAAGACCACAGCAAGACTGTATAAGAAAAGCTCAAGAGATGGCTCAGCAGTTAAGAGCACTGGCTATTCTTCAAAAGATCCAAGTGCAATTCCCAGCACCCACACCTCAGCTCACAACCATCTTTAACTTTGGTCCTAGGAGATCTAGCATCCTCTTTTGGCCTCCACAGTCACCAGACATATACCTGGTACACAGACATACATGCAGGCAAAACACCTGTACATATAAAATAAGTAAATCAGAAAAGAAAGCAGAAAACAGTTTAGTCCAAGTTAGAATGGGGCGGAGTGGTGGTGGCGCACACCTTTAATTCAAGCACTCGGGAGGCAGAGACAGGCACATCTCTGTGAGTTTGAGACCAGCCTGGTCTACAAGAGCTAGTTCCAGGACAGCCTCCAAAGCCACAGAGAAAGCCCGTCTCAAAAAAACAAACAAACAAAAAAAGGCCTGGGGACAAGGAGACCTGAAGCAGAACATCCAAAGCAAGTTCATCTGGAAGGATCAAGACCATAACAGATTCAGCAGCTTAGAGGTCCAGCCTCAGCTAGAGCAGAGGAAATACGATGGCAGGCACTAAACTTGGCAAGCTGTGATGCATCTGTCCATCTTTGGATTCATAGGGTGATGCCCGGTATCTCATCTCCAACTCCAAAGACCAGACCATTAAACTTTGGGATATCAGACGTTTTTCCAGCCGAGAAGGCATGGAAGCATCACGCCAGGCTGCCACGCAGCAAAACTGGGACTATCGATGGCAGCAGGTGCCCAAGAAAGGTGAGGGTGAGAGTGAAGCTGGCGTCTGGGAATTGAGAGCTGGGTAGTAGCTAGAATACTCAGCCACTGCTATGGCCTGGAATGAGTTCCGTGGACTTGTCTGTTGCCTGGGAATCCTGGAGTCGTTCCCTCGATCTTTTCTTTTGGGTCTTTTATTTGGGGGAGGGGTTCCCAGGCTTGAGGGGACATAGAATCAATCAACGCAAAAGTATTTTAGTATTGTGGACATTGTCAAATCAGCAGGGCCATATTGGTGACTTTTGTCACATGGGGAAAGTCAACAGTTTAAGATTGGATAGCCAGTTGCCTTTGAGTGTTGATCTTTGTTCAGAGGTGTTGGTACAGGACACTTCAGTGAAACTCCCTAATCTAAGACCCATCTCCAAAACTATACATCCTTACCCAGCCTGGAAGAAGCTGAAGCTCCCAGGAGATAGCTCCTTAATGACCTACCGAGGCCATGGCGTGCTGCACACTCTCATCCGCTGCCGATTCTCCCCAGCCCACAGCACCGGCCAGAGGTTCATCTACAGTGGCTGCTCAACTGGCAAAGTAGTTGGTAAGGGTTTTGTGAGAACAGGCCTTGAGAAGGCAGGCATGTTTCTCCGGTGTTCCATCTATAAATAACTACAGTAAGCACCTTAAAAATGTCAATAACAACTCCAACTAAATATTTAGGTTAGAGCAAGAAAGGGCTTAAACAAGGAACTAGGAAGCATTCACGGACATCATTTTTTATTATGAAAGGGAACATAGAATTCTAGTCAACAGATAGATTACCAAAATGGTGGTTTGGTTGTTTGTTTGTTTGTTTGGTTGGTTTTTGTTTTTTATTTTTCAGCCAGTCAAGGAAAAGGATCACAGAGGGAAGGTGGGAGGGCAACAGAGGCAAACAAATGACAAAAAGACAGCATTGGGTTGCTGGGTATGATGACTCCTATGATTCCCGCACTTAGGAGGTGAAGGGTTGCCATGTGTTAAAGGCCAGCCTGAACTACATAGTGAATTCTGGGCCAGCTTGGACTATTAAGCAAGACCCTGCCTCACAGAATAAAAAACCGTATGGGTAGTAAAAGTCGTGTAGGACTGAAGCAGGAGGGATGCACAAGAGCAAAGCAGGCTGGGGGATGGTTCCGGTAGTAAAGCACCTGCAGTCCAAGCACAAGGATCTGAGCGCAGGTCCCCAGAGCCCACACATGATGCAACTATGTCCCAAGTGCCTGGGGTTGGGAGCAGAAACAGGAGGATCCTGGAACTTGCAGAGCAGCCACTGTAGCTGTCTTAGTGAAGAGACGCCGTGACCACAGCAACTCTTACCAAAAAAGAAATTCATTGGGGGTGGCTCACTTACAGTTTCAGAGGTTCAGTCCATTATTATGATGGCGAGCAAGGCAGTGTGCAGGCAGGCATGGTGCTGGAGCTAAGAGTGCTACATGTTGCAGGCAACAGGAAGTCAACTGAGTCACACTAAGGAAAGCTTGAGCAAAGGAGACTTCAAAGCCTGCCCCCATAGTGACATATTTCCTCCAATATAGCCACACCTCCTAATAGTGCCAATCCCTTTGGGGACCATTTTCTTTCACTAGCCAAATTAGCAAGCTCCCAGTTCAGTGAAAGACTCTTCTCAAAAATTAAGTGGTGAGTGACTGAGGAAAATAGCCAACGTTGACACCCCCCCCCCCCGGCCTCTACATGTACATGCACTCACAGATGTGTGTACCCACTTACAAACATACAAACATGTAAACATCTCTACCCAGCACACTAAAGTTTAAAAAGCAGAGATGTACCTGTCCAACAAGGAACAAGTGCACACCTCTACTCAGCCTAGGATTCACTGACGGTACCTTCCATACCTTGCTAAAAGTTTTTATCTATTTTTGTGAGACAGGGTTTCTCTGTGTAAACTACCCTCACGGTCTTGGAACTCACTGTGTAGATCAGGCTGGCCTTAATTTCATAGAGATCCACCTGCTTCTGCCTCCTGAATTCTGAGAGTAAAGACACGCACCACCATACCCAGCATTGCTAAAAAAGTTTTTATAAGCCAGTGCATATGGCTGGAGAGATGGCCTAGCGGTTAAGGGCACTGACTGCTTTTCCAGAGGACCTAAGTTCAATTCCCAGCACCCACATGGCAGCTCCAGGGGACCTGACACCCTCACACAGGCATACATGCAGGCAAAACGCCAACGCACAGGAAGCCAGTTCATTTTCCAGTTTTCCTTTTGTTTGAGAATGGGACACCGAGCCTGGGACTGGCCTTGGAACAATATACGTCAGGCTAGGCTTGAGCTCCTGATCATCCTGCTTTCCCTTCGCAGATGTTGAGATTACCACCATGTGATGGGAAATGCATGGTTGTCTCCTTACAACCAGGCATTATCTTCACAGTAGTCCTTGGAATTCTAGCTAAGGGCCAGGGATGCCCACATTCCACTCCATACCCCCAAAGCCAAGGTAGGGACAGGAAGAGAGAGGGAAGCAGGCATGGCACCATGCTCTGAGGTGGGCTTTGCCCCAGAGGGAAAGTGGGGCGCTGCCTGAGAAGTGGGGGACTGAGAAGTGGTGTGAAGCCCCTACAGCAGTCCTGTCTGACTTTCCCTGCACAGTATATGACCTTCTAAGTGGCCACATTGTGAAGAAGCTAACCAACCACAAGGCCTGTGTGCGTGACGTCAGTTGGCACCCCTTTGAAGAAAAGATCGTCAGCAGTTCGGTGAGGCCACAAGGGTTGGGGCTGGGAGGTCAGCAGGTCTAGAACTTGGACCTGGGGGGCATCTCCCTGACTGTTTGTCACTTTCTGCTCTACAGTGGGATGGGAACCTGCGTCTTTGGCAGTACCATCAGGCTGAGTACTTCCAGGATGACATGCCAGAGTCTGAGAAATGTCCCAGTGCCCCTACTCCAGTGCCCTGCCCATCTGTGGCCTTTTCCTCACCTCAGTAGATCTGACTCTCACCATAGTCTGTCCTCTCCTCCCTCTCTCCTTCTGGGGGTGAGGGGGTATGTGAGGGAACTGCTGACATTGGATAGTGAGGAAACGAGCCCAGGGTTTGTGTCTGAACTGAGCCTGGACCAACCTCACCCCCACCAGACTGGGCTAAGTGATTTCCTCATGCATTCACACCCAGTCTGCTTGGATTTCTATCTCTAGCCAGAGTGTGGCAGGTCATCCATTACCTGGGGTGCACCTTCTGCCAACAAGACAATTGTCCTGAGTGATTTTAATCATGTTCCAATGTTAGATGTTGGCTCCTAGTGTAGATCCCTGAGGTCTGAATAGACCCATCAGCAATGCCCTTTGCCCAAGTCTTCACACTGAGAATTAGATTGGCCAATCAGGGCTAAGTATACTGGCCTTTCTTCCTGAGATCTCAGGGAGGACAGGGTGAATAGAGCGGTTTCCTCAGCACCCTCCTTGGCTGGGAGCTTGTCTTCTCTCATACCTGGACTTTGAAGTTAAGAGACTATGGTCCGAGAGGGAGGAGTCTCCAGAAGCTCTGTATGGCCCTCCTTGCCATTGGATCCTATCGTTGCTGGTGGCCAGCAGCTTCAACAAGAGAGGTTAAAATAGGACTTCTCTCATCTTCTCGCTGGCTTTGGCTTTCCCAATAAACTGTGGGAAATTGGCTCACTGTCTGTGTCTCTTTCCCCTTTTCCTATCCGAGGTCTGTCGTCATCTCTTCAAGGAAACAGTTTTTAAAATGGGTGTGGCAATACATGCTGTAGTCTCAGGACTTGGAATTGAGGACAAATGGACCATCCTCAGCTACATAATTAGTTTGAGGCCAGTCTGTGCTACCTGAGAACCTGTCTCAGAAATAGGAAATCAGAGTTTCTACACATGAAAGAAAACCTACAATCACTTACTGAGGCTTGGAAAAGTCTTTCCTCTCCAACCCAGAAAATGCATCATGTGTACCTTGAGACAGCAGATAACAAGCACATTTTCTGTTATAGCCCAGGCATATCTGTGTCAACTCTGCTCTGGAACTGTTCCAGGATGCAGAGGGAGTGGGCCATGAATTCACCTGAAGAGCACTAGCCAGCTCACTCACACCCCCAAGTCCTTTAGGCTAGCAAGAGGGTTCACACAGTGAAGGCACCTGCCACAAGACTGAAAGCTGACGTCGATGCATGCAGCCCACGTGGTGGGAGGGAACCGACCTCCAGAAGCTGTCCTCTCGCTGAGCACCCACACCAAACACAATTAAGAGTAGTAAAAGATCCCCAAGCCCTAGAGCAGCCAAAGGTCAGAGGAGATGGCCTTCTTCACACACTACAATCTAGATCTTTCCTTACATGTCTTGATCTTTGAGGCAATTTTTAAAGCAGGTATGTGTTTGAAGTGGTAGTCATAGACTTTTCATGGCCACGGAAGTTAGGGGGAGGGCTCACTGTATCTTCTGAACTGGTCTTGAATGCTTTTGTCTGCTCAATCCTCTAGCTTGAGTAGCTAAAATGGCAGACACACATACCACATCTGGCCCCCAAAACAACTGCTCAGCACTTGTCTTTAAGTGACAATACTGAAGAACAACACTAAACCTGTTGATGTTCGTTTGATCCAACTCCTACAAGTTGTCCTCTGACCTACACAAACACATATACTGGTATGTACATGTTCACGTAATATATAAATAAATGTAAAAGAATTGAAAATTGTCCAGAGCTGAGAAGGCAGTCCTGAGTTAGTTCCCATCACCAAATTAAACTGGGTATGGTATGGTGGCACTTGCTTCTAATCTCACTGCTTAAGATGTGGAAGCTGAGGAGAGGGGTCACTGTTCAAGGTATGAGCTACAGAGCAGTTTGAAGGCAGCCTGGGCTTTATGAGAGCCTGTCTCTAACAAAACAATACCAAAAAAAAACATGTCTTGCCTGTCCTTTTGCTCCTTGGTCTAGTGTCCTTTTATTGTGAATCAACTTCTGACCAGGCCTCAGTGGCTAGCAGTGCTGGTTGCTCTTCCAGAGTATCTGGGTTCAATTCTGAACACTCACACGAGGCTCCAGCCCTAGGAAACTGAACACCCTCTTCTGGCCTCCATGGACACCAGGCACACAAGTGTACAAACATACATGCAGGCAAAACACGCATAAAGTAAATAAAAATAAAACCAACACTAAGAAAAAGTAGCTTACAGGAGGAGAGAGTTCATTTGGCTCACACTCCAGGTAGCAGCCCATCACTAAGGGCCATTGAGGCAGGAAACATGGAGGAACACCACTGGCTCATCTGCTGGGTTAGGTTTAGCTACCTTTCATATATAACCCTGGACCACCTGCATAGGGAATGGTGCCACCCAAATTGCACTGGGCCCTCCTACATTAGTCATCAATCACTCCCCCACAGTCATGTCCACAGGACAATCTGATCTAGGAGATTCCTCGTTGAGGTTTTCCTCTCCCATGACTCTAGGCTGTGCGAATTTGAAAAACCTAACTAGCATAGTCCTCCTCTGCCATTTCGCCCCTAAGATGAACCTGTAGGTTTCCAAACTTAGAGAAAAATTTGTTAGTAATCTCAGGGAGCCACAGAATGTCATCCTTAGACATTACCATCCTGTTAACAAATATAAATGGCACTATTAATAATTATAATAGAAATTTAATTCCAAAGGGAAGAAAATAACTATTGTTTTATAATCTTTAGAACTGTTTGTTTTTGGCTTTTTGGTTTTAGGATTTTTTTGTTTTGTTTAGCAGGGATTTTTTGTTTTTGTTTGGGGGTTTTGTTGTTTTGGTTTGTTTGAGACAGCCTCACTGTAGCCCAGACTGGCCTGGAGTTCACTACATAAGATCAGGCTGGCAATGAACTTGAGTCAATCCTCCTGCCTTAAATTCCTGAGTGCTGTCATTACAAAAGCATGACACCATACCTGGCTTTTATTATTATTATTAGTTTTTTTTTTTTTTCCTTGAGACAGAGTTACTCTGTGTAGCCCTGGCTGCACCGAAACTTACCATGTAGACCAGACTGGCCTGGAACTCAAGAGATCAGCCTGCCTCTGCCTCCCCAGTGCTGGCATTAAAGGAGAGTGCCACCATACCCAGCTGTAAAAAAAAATTTTTAACCAAATTTAAAATTTGTGTTTTGTTTTGTTTTGCTACAAAGATGATGTAAATGACCAATAAAAGACCTTGAAGCATAAAAGCATATTGGACTGGGTGTGGTGGTGCACACCAGTTGAGCCCAGCACTTGGGAGGCTAAGGATTGTCACAATTTCAGGCCAGCCAGGCCTATGGATAAGACTCTCAGAAATGAAAAAGGCCAGACAGTGGAGGCACACACCTTTAACTCAACACTTGGGAGACAGAGATAGGCAGAGCTTTGTGATTTTGAGGCCAGCCTGGTCCACAAATCGAATTCCAGCCAGGGCTACACAGAGAAACCCTATCTTGAAAAAGAAAAAAAGAAGAAGAAGAAAGAAGGAGGAGGAAGAGGTGGGAGAAGGAGGAGGAGAAGAAGGGAAGGAAGGAAGGAAAGAAAGAAAGGAAAAAAGAAAACAATGGGAAGAAAACAGGAAGAAATAAAAGGACTGGAGACACAGGTCAGTTTCTCTGGGTCCCATCTCCAGCAGTGCATTAAGTTAGGACTGGGGGCTGGCCACAAGGTCCAGTGGGCTAAAGGGTTTGCTGTGTGCCACTGAAAACTGAGTTTGATCCCCAGAACCCAGTGGAAGGAGAGAATTGATTCCCCAAAGTTGTCCTCTGATCTCCATGTGTATGTCCTCCCTCCACCACATCTCTCATACACACACAGAGGGAGAGAGAGGGAGAGAGAGACACACACACAGAGAGACACACAACACATAAACAGAGACACATACACACACAAAGTAATAAGAAAAATTTTTAATGTCACACACAGAGACAGAGACAGAAACACAGAGAGAGACATAACACACAGAGACACATACACACATAGAGTAATAAATAATTTTTAATATGTTTGGTAGTACATACTTGTATTCCCAGCACTCAGCCACTCAGGAAGGAGATAGAAGCAAGAGGATCAGAAGTTCAGGATCATTCTTGGTTATGCAGAAAGTTTGAAGCCAGTCTGGGAAACATAAGACCCTGTCTGCCCCCCAAAAAAGAGGGAGAGGAACGAAAACAAGGGAGGATACTGGGGGTACAGCTCAATGATCATGTACATGCCTGAGGCCCTCTGCGTTTGATCCCCAGTAGCATGAAAAAGAAGGTGGCTAGTTGGTTTTCCTCAATCACAACTAGGCCCACAACCAGAGTATCCTTGCTCACTCATTCCTTTCACTACTTTGTGGGCCTCCACTGCTCTGAAATCCCAGCTTTAAGGAACAAGGAAAGATTAGAAGCCATATCTTGAAACAGCTACCAAATAACATGTACTTCTTAGGTAGGTCCTGCCTTGTGCTCAGACTGAGAGGCCAGGTTTGTGTGAACCATGGGACCCAGGGTAATTGACTAAAAAACTGACAAAAGTTTGGGGGTGTTTGTTGTTTTGAGACAAGGTTTCTCTGTGTGTATCCCTGGCTGTCCTGGAACTGCCTCTGTAGACCAGGTTGCTCTAGAACTCAGAGATCTTCCTGCCTCTACCTCAAAGGGCTGGGATTAAAGGCATGTGCCACTGCCACCTGGCCAGACTTAAAGTTTGATGGATGACAGATTGGGCATGTTTTCTTAGGATCTTTACCCATCACTCTGAGCACCCAGCCATGGCCACAATCATCCTACACAATTGCTTTTCTCAGGGCAATTCACCTATTGGAACTCGCCTATTGATTCTTGTCATCATGGACACAAGCTGTAACCCATCAGGTGATGCCCTGTGCATTCACTCTGCCACCACCAACGTGCACAGTCATCTTGGGACAAACTGGCCTTTCTGAGATCTTCATCTGGACTGGAACAGGAGCCTAGCTGAGCTGCTTCGGTCACTATAACTGTAGTGACTACCCCAGGGAAGCCACTTCTATGACCTACCTATGACATCATGCTGTGTACACACCTCACTGTCTCAGAACCCAGGAGAAGGATGCACAATTGGTGAGAAGATAAACTCTTTAGTTTATTACAGTGCATTGTGATGGCTAATCTTGTTATCAAATTGATTGCACCTGGAATGAACGGACACAGAAGCAGTTGGGAACACCTGAGGAAGTTTTTTGATTGGCTAACTTGAGGTGAAAAGTTCCACCCTAAATCATGATCGTCTGAGGTTAGAAGAACCACATAAGCCTGGGCCACACTTTCTGGTGGTTACCCAAGTTAAATAAAGGACATGGAAGAAGGAAGCTTGTGCATTTTGCCAGCTTGCCCTCACTCTCAATGGCAGGTGGGTTCATCTGTCCTGTTAGAACCTACTTCTTGGGGGCTCTAACATAGACTAAAGACCAGCTGAGCCATCTAGCCTCATGAACTGAATAACCACCTGGCTGTACCCTTTCTGTAGGGAGATAGTTATTGTTGGAATTAGGTAGACACAGCCTGTAAGCCATTCTAAATAAACTCCCTTTTAGTTTAGATTGATTCTATCTTCTGTGCTCCTCTAGAAACCCTGGCTAACACAGGCATCTGACGTTTGCTTGATTTTGTGGCCTAGATTTTCCGGAGGAAAACATGGTAAAGCTGAGATGAGGGTATGTGTGCTTCAGCTGGACAAAATAAGACAAGCAGACTGAAGGACTGCTGGATTGTGGACAAGGACAGCCCTGGACAGCAGGCCTTGCCCTGAGACACAAACTAGAATGTGGCTGGAACTGAGAACACAAAACAGGGAAGGACACAAGCCATGTCAGGACATACTTCCAAACACCCAAAGCCAGGACCATGCTGACTGTCAGCCCTCAAACTGGCCCACTCCCGCCCCCCTTCCCTGCCTCCCAGCTGCCTGCCCTGTGTCTGCCACACCTGTCACTGCCTATCCTTGTCCTAGAGGGGGGGCGGGTATTAGCCCCTCCTCAGCCTCCCAGCAGAGCAGGCAGTTAGTGGGGAGGGGAGGGAACATGGAGCGGGGGCCGATGGTGGGGGCAGGGCTGGGGACCGGGACCCGAGTCCGAGCACTGCTGGGATGCCTGGTGAAGGTGCTCCTCTGGGTGGCCTCTGCCTTACTATATTTTGGAAGTGAACAAGCCGCCCGCCTTCTAGGCAGCCCCTGCTTACGGCGCCTCTACCATGCTTGGTTGGCCGCAGTGGTCATCTTTGGTCCCCTTCTGCAGTTTCATGTTAACTCTCGGACGATCTTCGCTAGCCACGGCAACTTCTTCAACATGTGAGTCGACCAGAGTCCATGGGAGCTGCCTGCCTACACTCAGGGATCCCACCTTCCTTCTCTGGGCCTCTCTGTTCTTTTGCCAGTCTGAACACTAAAAATAGACTAGGAGATTGAGAAGGTCAGGGGGAAAGGAGGGGGGAGAGGAACAGAGCCTGGGGGTGCGGGGGAAGTAAAAGGATTGAGAGGAAATGTGTACCCTAGAATGCCCAGGGTCTAAGGAGACGGACAATGTTGAAATGGTAGGGGTTGAAAAGAGAACTAAGGATGGTGTGTGGAACATGGATGGGGGTCTCAAGTAGCTTTCCCTCTTTTTACCCACAGAAAGTTTGTGAATTCAGCATGGGGCTGGACATGTACCTTCCTGGGGGGCTTTGTGTTGCTGGTGGTATTCCTGGCTACAAGACGTGTGGCAGTGACTGCCAGGCACCTGAGCCGGCTGGTGGTGGGGGCAGCTGTCTGGCGGGGGGCCGGACGGGCCTTCCTACTCATCGAGGACCTGACTGGTTCCTGCTTCGAGCCTCTGCCCCAGGGCCTACTGCTGCATGAGCTGCCTGACCGCCGGAGCTGCCTGGCAGCCGGCCACCAATGGCGAGGCTACACTGTCTCCTCCCACACCTTCCTCCTCACCTTCTGCTGCCTCCTCATGGCTGAGGAAGCGGCTGTATTTGCCAAGTACCTGGCCCACGGGCTACCAGCTGGGGCCCCCCTGCGCCTTGTTTTCCTACTCAATGTGCTGTTGCTGGGCCTCTGGAACTTCTTGCTGCTCTGCACCGTCATCTATTTCCATCAATACACCCACAAGGTGGTGGGAGCTGCAGTAGGCACGTTTGCCTGGTACCTTACCTATGGCAGCTGGTACCACCAACCCTGGTCTCCTGGGATTCCAGGCCACGGGCTCTTCCCCAGATCCCGCTCAATCCGCAAACATAACTGAAAATAAATAAATAAAAGTGTACTAGGCCTGGCTCTGGCTCTTATTCTTTTCCGGCCTAGAGAGGGTGGGAAGGGTAAGAGAATAATCTGGAAGAAGCTCGAGTTCCTTCTTCATCATTCAAATCATTGACCTTGAATGTATTTTCCCTTACCTGCCTTCCATCCTTTGGGTTTCCTGGTCTGCAGACTTCTGGCTTTCTGGAGCTGTGAAGCTGGCAATTGCCCGTAGATGTATCCATCAGATTTCCCTTAGCAGATGCTTCATCTTCCACCTAGTTTTTTCCTGCCTTCTTCACAGATTCCTGATTTCCTTAGAGGCCTATCTATCTGGGCAACTCATGCCAGGACCTTTCCTACTTCTGTCTCATAAGAAAGGCGAACTCATTCATTTCACAACGGTGAGTTAAGCCAAGCATAGTTCTGTGCTGCGTGAACAGGACAAACAAGGCTTCTCCTACTTGGAAGCAGATGAGCTCTGGAGGAAGCAAAAGAGAAACAACACAAATAGCAAATGCTTGCCTGCATCAGGCACTGTTCTAAGAGTGTATACATTATTTATATAGATCAATACATTTAGAAGCCACAGAGATGGTTGGGTGGTAAAGCACTACTGTGCAAGAATGAGGACCTGTGTTTGGATACCCAGAGCCCAGATAATAAGCTGGGCATGGCAGTATGAGTCTGTTATCCCAGCGCAGGGGGAAACAGAATTCCTGGAGCTTGCTAACCAGCTACGCCAAACTAGGGATGAGCTCCAGATTTAGTATGAGACCTTTTTCAATAAATCAGGAATGGGGAGAGAATAAGGGAAGACTTCATTCACCTCTGGCTTCCATGAACTCTCGTGCACACACACAATTTTTAATCTCCACAACATCCCAGGGAGATAAGTTCAGTAGTGTTCCTATTATTCAGTTGTGAAATTTTTATTTTTTGTGTGTATGGATGCTTTTATTGTATGTGTATCAGTACACTGTGTATGTACAGTACCTGTAAATGCTAGAAGAAGTTATTGAATCCTCTGGAACTGGAGTTAATGGAAATCGTGAGCTGCCATGTGGGTACTGAGAACTGATCAGAAGTCCTCTGGAAGAGTGGCCAGTTCTCTTAACCACTGAGCCACCTCCCCATCTCCAGAAATTTTTATTTGTTTTTGTTTTTCAAGACAGGGTTTCTCTGTGTAGCCCTGGCTGTCCTAGAATTCTCTACCAGGCTGGTCTCAAAATCACAGTGATCCATCTGCCTCTGCCTCCTGAGTGCTGGGATTAAAGACCAGGGGCACCACTGCCCGCCAAAGCATGGCTTTTTGTTCAACATTAGAATAATAAAAGTATTTCTTGATGTGTGAAAATTACATGAAACTCAAAGTCCCCGACCTATAGGTCTATAGGTTGTTTTATTGAAACTCATCCACACTAATTCATTTTGTGGGCTGCTTCCCTCTGGCAGTTGGCAGAGCTTTATTGCTACAGATATTGTAACACTTCCCAAACCTAAATAGTCATCACCAACCCCTGACAGAAAGTTTTCCTGCCTCTGTTTAAACCACTGTACTAGCCCGTCTCAAAAACAAAATCAAACAAAAGTGGCTAATGTCAGAGTCACTGGTGCTGGGAAACAAGATGAGGTAATAAACTGGACAAGCAAGGTACTTTCTGAAGGAAACTTCTCTTTGAAAAATTGTCATCCGAACTGAGAACTGAGTGAGGACATTGAGGGAAGAGTGTTGTAGTTTTCCTAAGAGCAGAGTTCTTGAAGTTGGAATAAACACTACCTACAAGTATTTGCTTGTGTAATGAATGAGTGTGGAAAGCAATAGACTGTCAACTTGGAGGGGACAAGTGATGATGAAAGAAAGGTCTTTGAATTTTATCATAGAGGTCTGAATCCCTGCTGTTGGGGAATGGTCCCTAGGGCAACAGAATGTGCCACAGTGGCTTTGTGCGGAGCTTGGGTAAGGAGAGTACCAGTTCTCAGCATTGTCCGACCGGAGTATGATGGTCGGGACCACGCCAGCAAGGCGAGGAAAGACCAGCTCTTGCTCCAAATCAGAAAAGATTTAAAAACCCCCAATTAAGGCTTATTATTGCCCTGGCCCTAGCAGAAGTAATGGAAGGCGGGGGTGGAAGGGTTTAGAGGTGCGGGTGCGGGCAGGCGGGCTCTGGGAGGCGGGCCTGGCAGACAAGAGGAGAGACCCGAGCTCTGGGCGGAAACGCTACTCGGGCTGCTGGAGGAGCCCCCGCCTCTCAGTAGGCTGTCCCCGCCTCCTGCAGTCCCTCCACTCCCCAAACCCAGGAAGGCCGTGCAGGTTTCGAGCTCTGCTTTCGCTTTCCCTTCCCGCTGCCCACCCACTCCAGGCTCCTCGTGCGGCGTTCAGCCCCCCCCTCCGCTCCGACCATGGCCACACTGAGGGTCCATCCTGAAGCCCAAGCCAAGGTGAGCGCTGCGGGTTCGAATGGCGAGGAGAGGCATTAAAGAGGCGTGGCTCGGAGCGGACCTGGGTTCCAGAGATCAGCTCCTAACCCCGCATCTGAGTAGGGGGTCTGCTCCCTAAGCCTACTGCCAGAAGCACCTGATCCCCTGGGGGTAGGTGAGGCGGCTTTGGTTCAGCGGGGTGAAATGAAGCCGAGAGCTAGTGTGAAGTCTGCTGGCTTGCGGCCCGGGCTACACAGAGACAGGGAGAGGGACTTGCCCTGGCCACCTCGAGCTCTTTGACTCTAGAAGGACACATGCCTGCACCCTGCCTCTGCCCACTGGCTAAGGGTTTTGTTTTAAGACAGGGCTCTTTGTTATGTAGCCCTGGCTGTCCTGAAACTCGATATGTAGATCAGGGTGGGCTCGAGTTCACAGAGACCCACCTGATTTTTTAACGTCCTGAGTGCTGGGATTAAAGGCTTGTATGCCATGCCACTCCTGAGCAGAGGGCTTATCTCTCCTTGCACAATCTTGGTGACCCCAGGAATCTCCCTAAATCCAGCCCCCTTGGGGATCCACTGAACTCTCCCCAGAGAGTTTCAGGTGTGCTGAAAACTACAACAGCTCAGGCTACCCTATAGAGGGAACCATCTCATTTTCCTCAGGTGTGGCCTTAGAGGGATCCACTCTATTCCCCAGGTCAGGCCCCTACACAGCCCAAAGGGAAGTGCCCTCAAATGAATTGGCCTGAAAGCTAGGTTTCTGAAGGGTTGCCTGTACCCTACAGGTGGATGTGTTTCGGGAAGACCTGTGTAGTAAGGTAAGACCTACATCATGGGCAACCCCACCTCCAACCAGCTGCTGCTGCTCAGCCTTCCCTTGCTGGGCAGTGTGAGCCCTTACTTCACTGCCTAGGAAAGGGCGTTTGATTATGACCCCATCCTCCTCCACCACCTCACACAGACAGAGAACCTGCTTGGGAGCTATTTTCCCAAGAAGATCTCAGAGCTGGATGCATTCCTAAAGGTACAGGGGTCCTGCGGGTACTCAAGAGGAGCCTGGGGATGGGGGTGGGGTGAGATAAGAGGAACGCCCTCATCTCCGGCCCTCCCACTAGGAGCCAGCTCTCAATGAAGCCAACCTGGGCAATCTGAAGGCTCCGCTGGACATCCCAGTACCTGATCCAGTCAAGGAGAAAGAGAAAGAAGAGCGGAAGAAACAACAGGAGGCAAGTTGGGAGGCCTGGGAGGTGGGCCAGCCATAGAGGAAACCAGCCTCAGTCCCATCTTCCTCCCCACAGAAAGAAGAGAAAGATGAGAAGAAAAAAGGGGAAGATGAAGACAAAGGTATCTGAAACCTGGGAAGAGACAGACTTGTGTCTCCAAACTTCCAAGTTGCATCCATGTTTCCCTTTCCAGACCTCACCAGCTCAGTCATTAACTGACCCATTGCACACTGTCTAGGCCCTCCCTGTGGCCCTGTGAACTGCAATGAAAAGATTGTGGCCCTCCTGCAGCGCCTGAAGCCTGAGATCAAGGATGTCATTGAGCAACTCAATCTGGTGAGTTTCACTTTCATCCCTGTTTCAGGCTTTGTCCTCTTGGTCTCTGCCAATTAGGACAATGCTTGCATATCGGAGAGGTCAGAGCAAGGGAGACAGCCTTGGGCTCAACATGGACCTGGTATTCCCCCATTCACTGTGGGCAGTGGGAAGAACGGAACTTGGGGCGTGGGGTGTGTATATAGAGGGTAAGGGAGAGGGCGGTGGTAAAACCTCCTTCCTTTGCTTGAAGGTTACTACTTGGTTGCAACTACAGATACCTCGGATAGAGGATGGGAATAATTTTGGAGTGGCTGTCCAGGTAAGAGCACTGCCCCCTCAATCCACAGCCCTCCAGTATAGCTTGTGCTTCCTTCTAACTCATCACTTTCATTCCCAGGAGAAGGTGTTTGAGCTGATGACCAGCCTTCATACCAAGCTGGAGGGTTTCCACACTCAAATCTCTAAGTGAGTTGCCTGGCCACTATACCCCCAGCCCACTCTGCCTTTGTGGTTAGGCCTGCGGTGTCCCATCCCCATCCCCTCCCCCCCCCCCCAGTGCATACACACTACTTCTACTTCCCACAGGTACTTCTCAGAGAGGGGTGATGCAGTGACCAAAGCAGCCAAGCAGCCCCACGTGGTAGGTGAGGCCCAGGTCAGGTTGAGCTGGGGAAGACACATTTTGAGTCAGAACTAACCCTGAGTTTCTGCAGGGTGATTATCGGCAGCTGGTGCACGAGCTGGACGAGGCAGAGTACCAGGACATCCGTCTGATGGTCATGGAGATCCGTAACGCTTACGTGAGGAGGGCTGGGCTGGGCTGGGCTGGGCAGAGGCATCTTTCCCAGACCAGCCAGTTTCTCACCAAGTAGACTTGTGGTGGAGGATGACAAGATCAGCCTTTCCAAAGCTAGAATGGGACACAGAACCACTGGGGCCTGTGGCTAACCTCCACTACTCCATGTTCCCATAGGCTGTGCTATATGACATCATCCTGAAGAATTTCGAGAAGCTCAAGAAGCCTCGTGGAGAAACAAAGGGAATGATCTATTGAGCCCCCTCTCTCGTTCTGTGATGGGTACAACACAGACCTTCCTGCTCTTTACCAGGAACTATAGACTGTACCCAGACTTCTTCCTGCTGGGGTTTTTCCCTTACTCTGCCTCCCAAACACAATAAATATATGTTGCCCGATAGCCCATCTCTTTATTGTACTCTGACCCTCTGGTTCAGGCATTCCCACTGGTGGGACCACCCCACTGGGTGATTTGAGTGTTAAGCCGCTGGTTGGTCCAGTCCTGCCGAATGTCATCAAGATGGCAGTCAAAGTCTACAAGGTGATGGTGGGCCTGGCTTTCCAGCAGTGCTCCCACCATCTGTCTGGACTCTTCCCAGTCTCTCCACATCACTCTGAAATTAAAACGTGGAGGTCAAACAGTGGAGCCAGACAAAAAGGATTGTGTCTAAAGAAGCCAAGGGGCAGGGCCAAGGACAAAGGAGGCCTTGGGAGTCTTGGACTTCCAAGAAGTGATAGAGGTAGCAGGGCACTCACAAGTTCTTGTCCTTAGGCACCCATCGAAGACCCTGGTTCTCCAGGACAATGACTGGAGGTACACGAGGCCGAGTCACCAATTTCTTATTATCCAGCTGGGTGGACAAGGGATGAGAGTCTTGGGATGCTCTCCCACATCCTCTCCACCTCCCCACCCTAAAGCCCAAGCCTCACCATAATAAGCACCGCATCAGGGAAGAATTCTGCAATTCGCCCGGCGATTTTCAAGGCCAGAAGCCCAGGGCTGTGATGGGGGAAAATCAGAGGAGTAAGGAGCCAACTGAGGGCAGACCCAGGTCTCCCAGGTTGCCTAGATGTGTGCACAGCTGTAGCCTTTCCCTGCTTGCCTGGGAATGTCCGGCCTGCTTGACCAACGATGGCTTGATGCTTGAATGCTGTGGGAAACAGGTGCTCAGATTCTGCTGATGAGAGTGGAAATCTAAAGTAGGCTTTGGAGAAGGTAATCTGCCTTAATCATCCAAATCAAAACCAAGAAAGCTGGAGCAGTGGCTCAGTGGTTAAGAGTACTAGCTACTCTTCCAGAGGACTTGGGTTCAAATCTTAGCACCCACTTGGCAGCTCACAACCAGTCTCAAGCGATTCAATACCCTCTTCTGGCTTCTAGTAGCACTGCATAAGTGGTGTGTGATTATAACATGGTATATATACAGTAAGGGCAAACCACAAAAATAGTAAATAATTTACTGGGTAAGAAGATAAGGGACCAGCAAAAGTGGGGAAGAGGAATAGGTTAGGGTACTGGGGAAGAATAATTAAGAATAAAATATGGGGCTGACAGTGGTGGCCAACACCTTTAATCCCAGCACTTGGGAGGCAGAGGCAGGCAGAAATCTGAGTTCGAGACCAGCAGCCTGGTCTACAAGAGCTAGTTCAGGACAGGCCCCAAAGCTACAGAGAAACCCTGTCTCAAAAAAAAAAAAAAAAAAAAAAAAAAAAACCCTCAACCCCCCCCACCAAAACAAAAAAACTATGTATGAAAATGCCACAGTGGAACCAATTACTTTATATGCTAACTTAAATTAACTTAGACAGTCCCTAGGAGCCACCATGAAGTTTGGCTGGGTCTGCCCAACTCTCTGAGGCCTGAATCAGAAAGATAAAACTTTTTTTCCCATTTCTTTTGGATACTGGCCAGAACCTAAGTGTGATTTTTTTTGATACTTTGGACTTCCTTTCTCTTTCTCTACAGATCAACATTCCATGCTTCTCTGAGATGAGTCTGACCTCCATGCTGGTTTGAATGATATGACTTGAAAAAGTAGTTTGCTTGCTCTGAACCTTTTCGACTCTAATAAAACTGTCCTTGGGTTTTTAAAATTCTTTTGTTAACAGACTAAAAACCCCAAAAGGAGGCCTGTTACCCCTGTGTCATCTGGCCACCACGATCAAAACAGACCCAAATGACACTGTCGGGTGTCCACATATAATGATGGGTCTTCAGAGGCCCTCTCGCCTTCTTCTGATTGCATACATACAGCTTCGAGAGATTTCACACAGTTCTAACAACTTATCAGATGACCTTGCAGGACAAATATGAAGCTCAAAGATGGGTCAGTGGTGGCAAGACCACACCTTGCTCCTCACTGCTTAGCTATGCATATTCTTGTCCCTCTATTTAAACTTTAATCTCTCTTTGAGACCCAGAAGACAGACCTGGGAAAAGTAGCCATGTCTTACTGGATCTCTTTGTCCTCTTTCTAGGATGGCTATATTAAATATATCTTTTTCTTTTTTCCCATAATTTTTTTTTTCTTAATTGGGCATGGTGGTACACACTTTTAACCCCAGCATTCAGGAGTCAGAGGCAGGTGGATCTCTGAGTTCAAGGTCAGCCTGGTCTAGAGTCCGTTCCAAGACAGCCAAGGCTATGCAGAGAAACCCTGTTTTGAAAAACAAAACATATCTATGTGTGTGTGTGTGTGTGTATGTATAAATACATATATATGTGCGTGTATATATTTTAAAGACTTCAATGTTTATAGCATTAAGTAAATCATGGTGTGTACACATTTATACTATACAGCTGTTAAGATGAGGTAGATGTTGAGATGCCAAGACATCAGAAGTATTAATTTCGGAGAGGGGAAGGAAATCACAGTAGATCTAAGTTAATCCATATTAAAATCAAATGTGTTTGGTGTGTGTAGTATATATGTATAATGTGGGGGAGCTTTTTGTTATTTTTTTTCTTTTCTTCTTTCTTTCCCCCTTTTTGTTTTTTGAGGCAGAGTTTTCTGCCTCTGGCTGTCCTGGATCTCCCTCTGTAGAACAGGGTGACCACGAACTACAGAAATCTGCCTGCGTTTACCTCCCCCCTCCCCCCAGTGCTGGGATTAAAAACATGGGCCACCTAGTCGCACTTTGTAAATTCTTACAGCACCTGGGAAGCACCTCACTCAAGAGCAATCTGTTCAGTCGAAAGACAGCTGTGTATCCCACCCCAAGTGCACTGTCCTTCGACTGTCATATTCATGCTCTCACCCTAGTACTCAGTATAACGTCTGGTGCACAACCCCGCTGCTAAGCACTTGATGAAAAAATAAAAATAAAAGGAATGACGCTGGTCCATCTGCATGTCACCCACACCTGCCACAATCATCTTCCTTCTGGTCCCTAGCTACCCAACTCACCTCTGGTCGTCTAAGGCAGCATTGGCGTGGTAGTACCCAGCTACCACCAGACCGGCCTGTGCGCCCCACACATCCACCTGTCGTGAGAAAGGGGCCATCAGTAACTAAATCAAGCTTCTGGCTCTGTGGGTGCATACTGCGGCCAAGGGTTGAGCATGCATTTAGGCTGAGGGTCCTAACGTAGCATGGGTGGTGGGGGCGGTGAATAGGGATGGGGGCGGGGTTCTCGAGGCCACACCTGATTGAGCGCGACCTCCAGCATGACCGACAGGGCCAGATGGCTGTGGAAGAGGGGCACGCAGTCGGTGAGGCAGAGGCATTCTCCCGACCGCGACCGCGGCGCGGGAGCCAGCAACAATCCGTTCACAGCAGCGTATGGGTACCGAGATGCGTGCAGACACATTTTCCCGTAGGCCCGGGCGGAAATCTCCACCTCCCCCATAGCGAACCAGGCCTGGTGGCACGCAGAACCCCAACCAGTATGGCTTTCCAACCACGGCAAGAGAGCTTGTTCTGGACCTGTGCTTCCTCACTTAGGTGTAAGAAGCTTCTAACACCAGGCGACCTCTTTCCTCAGCCTGCCCCCAATTCTTTCCAGAATTGGGTCCAAACGCAACCCACGGAACCGAGCCCCGCCTCCTCTAACCACTCCCGGGCAGGCGCTCTTGCAGGCAGGCCAGCTCCAGGTCATACCCTAGCCAAGAGTCCCGCCTCCGTGATCCTCTCTGATAGGGTAAGACGTTCTTATTTTGTCCAATCAAAAAATTTTTAAATTTTGGCTTGCTTTGGCCTAAAGCGAACTGGAAGAAATGCATTAGAGCAAAGGAAAGAAAGTTGCCCACAGGCTTATTAGCTAAACACTTTGCTTTTTGTTTTGTTTTGTTGTTTTAAGGAGGGTAGACACACAGAGTCTCAGCCCAGACTGGCCTCAAACTCACCGACGCTTTTGCTTTCATCTCTCAAGGGGAAAAGCCCTAACTTTACAGACCCCGCGCCACCACGCCCAGCTCTGACTTGTGCAGGTTATTGCAGGTTGGCTTCTCCTGTTTACCTGCTCTGTCTGTCCCTACGGGCAGAGACAAGTAGGTGGAGGGCTGGCCCCTAGCTGGGTGTTCGGAGAATCTTGTCGACAAAAACGTTCTCCTTGTTTCAGCTACAGAACGAGTGCGCGTGGGTCTGCACCATAGATAACCAGTAGCCTAATCTTCCCAACCTGAAGCTCTGGCCTTTGGTTTCCTTAACATAGTGCAGCACCATTAAGGCAAAGGACAAGTCCATGACCCTTTACGGATAAATAATATGAGCATTAAATTCCCAGCTGTCAAACTCATGCAGTACACTATTATTTTTTTTTTTATTTTTAATTGCATTGGTGTTTTGCTTGCATGTATGTCTGTATCAGGGTGTCAGGTTCCTTGAAACTGGAGTTATGAGCCACTGTGTGGGTGCTGGGAATTGAATTCAGGTCCCCTGGAAGAGTAGTCAGTGCTCTTAACCACTGATCCATCTCTCCAGCCCCCACAGCACATTCTTTTGACATATTTTAAAACAGGACAAGAGCCAGAATTTAAGGGGCTGAGAAGATTGCTGAACAGTTAAGAGCACCGACTGTTCTTCCAGATGACCCAGGTTCAATTCCCAACACCCACCTGGCAGCTCACAGCCAGCTGTCTGTAACTCCAGTTCCAGTGGATCTGAAACCTTCACACCAATGTGCATAAGATAAAGTTAATAGATTATAAAAAAAAAAAAAAAAGAGCCTGAATTTAAAAGTCCCTTGGAGTCTCTAACAAGCCACACAGGGTCTCCACCACCCCAGAAGTGAATCTTAAACTGCAATCACACCAGAGGATGAAGGCAGGAGGAACAAGAGTTCAAAGTTAGCATCAGCTACACTATGTGTTTGAGGCCAGCCTAGGCTATGAAAAACCTTTTCTAAAAACAGCCTCAAAAACATGGCTGGAGAAATGACTCAGCAGTGAAGACCCAGCTTCTGTTTCCAGCACCCATATTAGGTGTTTCACCACCACTGTGTACTCCAGCTTCAGGGGATTCCAGCACCCTCTTCAGGCCTTTACAGGCACTGCACACACACAAAGAATACGTTCACACAGGAACACAGAGACACATACATTAAAAAACAAGAACAACACCCAAATCCCAACAGATGTAAAGACAGAAACTGGTAGGGGGGTGGGCAAGAGATAAAAAGGCAACTCCCCACCTCCATAATGCTCATCAGTAGTGGTGATATATTCTTGTTTAATACCCTTTTAAAAACAATTTATTTACTGTTAACTATGTGCATTGGTGTTTTGCCTGCATGAATATCTGTATGAGGATCTTAGGTCCTCTAGAACTGAAAGTGCAGACAGTTGTAAGCCACCATCTGGGTGCTGGGTATTGAACCCAGGTCCTTTGGAAGAATAGTCAGTGCTCTTAACTGTGGAGCCATCTCTCTAGTCCCCTTTTTAAGACCTTTTCTCTCTGCCAGCACTGAGAAATCTTAGGATAACCCTATTCTCCCTCCAAGCTTGCTCTCAGTTTCCCAACTGTTCGTAATTCCCATACCATAGCCATAAAGCTTCCAAGTCTACCCAAAGCCTAATTCCTCCTGCAACAGCTTTGCCTAAATACCCTTTTACCATGAAATCAGATGGAAATACCTTGTATATTCCACACAACAGGTTACTTGCATGGCTGACAAGGCATGCAAACTCATACCCTACTCTTTTTCAACTTGTTATAAAAACTAGGGTGGCCCTAAACTCCAGATCCACCTGCCTCTGCCTCCTGAGTGCTGAGATTAAGGGCACGTTCACCACACCCTACTCTGTCCTGTTCTTTGAAAGGAACTGTTGAGAACACAATGGGTCTCAAGCTCAACCTCATTTTCCTGGCACCTTCTTCCATTTTCTTTTTTAATTTTTTGTTTTTATTTTAGGTGTAAGGGTGATTTGATTGCATGTATGTCTGTGCACTGTACATATCTGGCCAAAGGAGGGTGTCAGACAGTTACTAGTCACTTTGTGGGTGATTGGAATCTAGCCTGAGTCCTCTGGAAGAACAGCTAGTGCTCCTAAATGCTGAGCCACCTCTCCGACAAACGCTCTCCCATTTTCATTACCATATTTGCCTTTCTTTGGTGTATAGACAGAGGAGGCACTCAATAAATGATCTATGAATGAACAACAGAAGTAATCTACATAAAGTACAAATCATTTATTCTCCTTCTAATCCTTAGCTCAGTACATAGATGGCTTCTCTTCACCCTTTGGGTTGACAATTTTCTCTAGGTTGTTGCTGATGATATGATAAAGCTCGGCCTGGAGGAAGGGCCAGAAGAACAAAGTTAGGTTCTTGGCTTCCCACACCCCGTCCATCCACTTCCCTAGGGAGCTTGCTTCACACTCACGTAGAAGGCCCTCAAGTCAAGCACCATGGCCCTGAGCTCCCCATAGGCTGCTTCATCTCGCTCATGCACCAAGGCCCGATAATCCATCTGGGAAGTAGGAAGTAGTGAGTACATCAGCAGGGGAAGTCAGGATGGTAATTTTGTTTTCTCATACAGAGAAGAGATTAACTGGAACATAAGCCCCATCTTAGCACCAACAAATACAGAATTAAGTAAAGAAAGGAGTCAAGGATGGTGGAGCCCTAATCAGTGTTGCTTTTTGGAATAGTGTTTCCCACACTGTGCAAGTCAAAAACAAAACAAGAAGGACCTCAAATCCACCCCTGACCAGCCTCAGCTAAAAGGCTAGTGGCCTATGCACTCACTACATGGGTCTCCTTGGAGGCCTTGGCCACAGCATCCCCACGCTCTGAGAAGTACCTGTAAGAAGTGAAGAATGTGTGTGTTAAAGATGTACAACCACACACCTCACCCCTCAGTCTACAATCATTCTGACAGAATTGCCTAGCTTTGAGACTCCTGCAGGGGAGTCCCTTCCTGTAGGGTTCCTATGGTCATGTAGCATTTCTCACTTGGAAATGGTTGTCTGGAAGGCTTCTACTTTGGTCTTGACAGCATTCACTCTCTCTAGCACCTTCTCCTATAGAAACATGAGAAGCAAAGAAAATATTTCATCTCCCCCCCTTCACTATCCTCTCTCCCTCCGATCCCACACTCCCAAGCCTCTTCCTACCCTGTCTTCAGTAACCAGTTCTTACCTGAATTGCCACTCCAAAATCATTCCCATCCTCAATCTTGGGGATCAGGTGCTGGATCCATGTGATTACCTATGTTAAAAGGAACATTCATTCAACAAACCTTCTGGACTCTTATTATGCCATTAAAAAAAACATTTCTAATATTTTATTTTTATGTATATGGGTATTTTGGTTTTATGTATATCTATGCATCACATGAATTTCTGGTGCCCACATAGGCAAAAAAAAAAAAAAAAAAAAAAAAAAAAAAAAGGTGGGGGTCAGCTGCCCTGGACTTAGAATTACAGATGTTTATGAACTGCCATGTGGGTGCTGGGAATCAAACCTGGGTTCTCTGGAAGAGTAGCCAGTACTCTTAACCTTCAAGCCATCTCTCCCTTCCAATGCAAGGTGGAAGGTTCTTTTGCTTGTTGAGGCAGGGTTTTTCTATGCAGTCCTGGATGTCTTGGAGTGCCATATGTAGCCCAAGCTGGCATACATATGGATCCTTCTGCCTCTGCCTCCCTATTATGCTACTTCTTGATGACAGCTTTATCTGAGCACTTATTTCGTGCTATTGATCTCATCTAATCACTGGCAATCTTTAACACAGGGAACAAGAAAGTCACAGTTTCTTAGAGAGCTATATAAATGACAGAGCCAGGATCGGAACCTGGGTCCTTTTAGGGCTTACACTTTTAAACTGACTCACTGTATCTTATCACCTACACTGTGTGCCTGACATGATAGGTTCTGAGTACAGAGGTAGCTATAGCAGAGCCTCTCATTTTTACAGTTACCATTGTGATACCAGACAGATAGCAAACAAATGAGAAAAACAAAGACTATCTAACCCTGAAGGGTTGGACAGTGGGTAAAATGCTAGCTGCGCACACACGAATACAGGAAGACTTACATTCTAATTCTCAGCATACACATAAAAGCAGGGCACAGTGGAATACACTGTCACCCCAGTGTTGGGGGGGTGATACAGACAGACCCTGGAGGTTCCCTGGTGAGCCAGGACAGCTAAACAGCAAGTTCCAGGTTCAGTGAAACCAGTGCCTTAAAAAAACTCCACATGTTGACCTCTGACCTTCAAATGGGCAATGGAAAACACGCCTACACACCCTTCAGTGAGCGCTTGTGCATGCGCGCGTGCCTGCGCGCGCACGCGCGCGCACACACACACCCACACCACGCACCATGCAAATCCAAGACACAAAGGCACGTTTTCTTATTTAAAACCAGGTCTCCGGTTTGCCTTGCTTTTCTTCCCACTTCCTCCAGTTCCCAGGCTTACCAGAATGCATTTCTCTTTGAGAGTCCAGACTTCTGGCTTAACCAGAGCAAGCAGGGCCAGAAGCTTCTCATTCCCAGGGAGAAAGCCACACTTAGGGACTACAGAAAAGATAGAGACAGGCCTTTTTGTTACTCCACATCAATGTACGTTTCCCTCCCAGTCACCCAGTTCTCCATTTACCTTCTTTCTTCTCCTGCTTGTCTGTTTCCATCTAAGGCAAAAAGGGGAAAGCAGCTCTAGAAAACTCAAGGAGGCTACAGGCTTATAGTCCAAGCTCTGCACACTAAATACCTTACCTCATCATCCTTGGGTGGGGGATCTGGGATGGGGATGTCCAGAGGAGCCCGGAGGGAGGAGAGATCGGCCACATTGAGGGAGTCCTCCTGCAGAATTTATTCTCAAGCACTGCCCAGTCCCCTCCCCTCACCAGTCACAGCCTCCCCTGCCTTCCCTCCTAACCTAGGCTCAAGCTTTATATCAGCCTAAGTTTCCAACATGCCGATACTAATTGTCAGAGGACAGGTGGTGGGAGAGATGCCAGGCGATGGGATAGAGGAGTTTTATATTACTCACCTGTAAGAGTTGACTCAGGGATATGATTTTCCGTGGCAAGAATGTGGAGAGGAAGTCATCAGCCTGTCAGTTACATTACAAAAACCATCATACAAAATGTCCGAAGAGATGTTCGACAAGTAAGCCCTTAGAAATTACTGAGTCCCACACTCACAAGTGAGGAAACAGTAGCCCTGGGATGAAAGGGACTTGCCCAATCTGATGGACGGCAGAAGTAGGACTGTGGGTATTTCGGACACCATCTTTCCCTCCTGTCTAGAGGGTGGGGGAGTGGTAAAAGCAGTTAAGAGTTCTAAGAGCGATCAGATTAGGAATAGAAACCAATCGTTAAATCACCCTGGGCAAACATGAAGGTTAGGAGACCAAAACTAGAAGAATTAGGGGGTTACTCAAAGGTTGTGGCCCTTGAGAGTATAGCGCTAAGATTCTGGGTCGAATCGCTTGAATCCAGAAACTTACCTCCTGGAAAAGATTTTGTCTGAAGACATCCACCTGCACAGACAGCAGTAGCCAGACGCTGGTTAGGGGGTTCAGTTGTAAAGAATAAGAACCCACCCCCCGCAACCGGGTGCCCTCCAACTGTAGCTCAAGTCTGTCCCACAATGCCAGTTTTCCCTGTAAAACCCTTCTCAGTGTGCAGGCTGGCTAGAGGACAGGGCAGGGGTAATCCCGGAGCATAAGTGAAAGCCCTAAAGAAAGAGGTCGGGGAGTTCTCACGCAAGGCCTTGATGCCCAGAAGCACCCAGCTTTATCTCCGTTAAGACTCCTCAACCCTTTCTGGCCTCCGGACCCCATTTACCTGCTTACGGGCTTCTCCGCTCAGGCGAACCACACAAGGTTTGGCCATGCTGCTCCAGTTGCTAGCTCTAGACTCTCTCGGGGCTAGCCGCCCCAGCTTTCGCTTTCACTCTCCAGGCCCAGACCCACCCCCCTCAGCCACGCCCCCTTCCCTCTTTTTCCCTCCTCCTGGCAGGCCACTAACTGTAAGTAGTCCTTCAGCCATTCCTAACCAGTTGACACTAGGAGGGGCGGTGTTGGCTTAATCACCAGCCCAGGGGTGGTCCAGGGGAGGGACTAGGGGAGCGTGGGACAGCGGAGACTGGAACTGCAGCTGCTACCGAGAAGGGCGGAGCTTATAGCGAGGGCCGTCCAGGGGAAGCGCTGCTCTAGGCAGCTCTAGGCAGAGTGGGACAATAATAAGGGAGTGTCCAGGGATGGGGCTCCCCGAGGTTAGACTTTAAGGAGGGGACCCAGTAGGATCCGAGAGAGTAGTTAGGAGAGGAAGAGGGAAGCCGGGCAGGATGAAAAGGAGCAGGGGGAGGGGGACTGCCTTGCCTTTAGGACAGACTGGAGGAAGGCGGGACTCGCCTGAGCCGGGCTAAGGGGGGCCAGGGTTGGGTCCCCGATAAGGTGGGACTTCCCCGCTGGGGACTGGATCTGAGCACCATTGTGGAAATAAATAGGAAAGTTTGGCAAAATAGGCTAACCCCGCGCGGGGGCGGGGACCCCTCCGGAAGGGGCGGAGATAGCCTAAGGGCAGGCGGGGAGCTTGACTAGGAGGAAGAGGTTCCCTCGCACTGTGGGAGGAGCCCGGGCCGCGGCTTCCTCATTGGCGGCAGCCTGGCCTCCCTTCCTGCTTACACCCCTTCCTTCGCTCTGACCTCGCCCCTTCCTCTAACGCGGTCCGCAGTCCCGCCCTCTTTGCCAGTGCTTCCTGTTCCCCGCAACCCTGGCAGCGGCCGGGGCTGAGCGGGGCGGTGGCTTGAGTGGCCCTGGCTGCTGCGGCGCCGCGCGCCCCTCCGCCCCGCGCCCGCCACTGGTGGACAGCGAAGCTGAGCCTGTCTCCGGTCTCGGGATGCCGGGAGAGGAGGAGCGAGCCTTTCTGGCGGCCCGCGAGGAGCTGGCGAGCGCCTTGAGGCGGGATTCCGCGCAGGTGTTTCCCCTGGAGCAGCTCACGCCGCTTCTGGCCACCTCTCTGCCACCAGCTTCCCGCTACCTGCAGCTGGACGCCGGACGCCTGGTGCGCAGCAACGCTCATGGGGAGGTGAGGCCAAGTCCGCCCGGCGCGCCATGGAGGAAGACCTAGGCTCAGGCCAGATGGGCTAGCCTCATAACTCTGCTTTTCTGACTGCTCCTAGCCTCGAAACTACCTCAATACTCTGTCGACGGCCCTGAACATCCTGGAAAAATATGGTCGTAACCTCCTCAGCCCACAGCGGCCTCGGTACTGGCGCTCCGTGAAGTTTAATAACCCTGTCTTTCGCAGCACGGTGGATGCTGTGCAGGTGAAACCCTTGGGCCTTATCGGAGAAGGGGACTGTAGACATATTGCTGGGGGTTGACCAGAAGGGGTTTGAGGGTGTGCTGAGTGGGGAACAAGCTCTATTGCCTAGGAGGCCTGCTGGGTGGTGACCGGGTTCCGAATGTGTGGCAGGGGGGCCGGGATGTGCTGCGGTTGTATGGCTATACCGAGGAGCGCCCAGATGGCCTGAGTTTCCCTGAAGGGCAGGAGGAACCAGATGAATACCAGGTTGCCATAGTCACACTAGAAGTACTACTGCTTCGCACGGAGCTCGGCTTGCTGTTGCAGGTGAGATGGCCTTCTGATCGATCCTAAGGTCTTTAAATACTAGACTGGCAGCTCAACCTAATTGAAAGCCCTTTGAAACCCCCCCCCCCCATGCTGATGAATTCAGTTGCTGCTGCAGTCTGGAAGCTTCTGCTGCAAGGAGCTTACAAGAACTTTGCTCAAGGTGGGAATTCTTTTCGATCTTGTTTGCAGGATACTCATCCAAGACAGAAGGCACTGGAGCAGCTGCTAAGAGACAGCGTTGAAGATGATGTAAGGAAGGCTGAGAGGGTGCTGTTAATAAAGGGGCTGGGTTGGTGGGCTTCTGTGCCACAGCACTTGTTCATCCTCGGCTTTCTCCTTCAGATGCTGCAGCTTTCAGAGTTTCACCCCCTTCTGAAAGAGATTGCTCCTGGCCCCCTCCCCTCTGCTCCAGGTATGGCTGGTACTGTATGGGAGAGAATATTAGGTTAGGTTCATGTGAATGTAGGTCTTGTATCTTCTTGTGTCTGTATTTTATTTTGAAAGATCAAAATGGATCCAGATGTTGTAAAAACAGTTTTGTGATTTGCCTTAGCCCATAACAGATTAAGTGTAGCCTGGTCTTTTCTCCTTTAATTTTAAGTTTTACTTTGGGGGTGAGGTGGGAGGGTAGTGTAGTGTGGTGTGTGGATTTGTGCAGGTGCCCATGGAAGCCAGAGGCAACTGATCCCCCTGGTGCTGGAGTTGCAGACAGTGCTGAGCTGCCCAGCATAGCTGCCAGGAGTCATACTTGGTTCCTTTGCAGAAGCAGTACTTGATCTTAACTGCTAAGCCTTCTCTCCAGCAGCTTCAGTCCCTGGTCTTTTTAAGGCAGTTACTCTGGGGGCTTGAGAGATGGCTTAGTGGTTAAGAGCACCTGGTGCTCTTGGAAAGAACCTATATTCATTTCCCAGCACCTACTATACAGTGGTTCACAGCCCAGTTCCTAGCACACAGGAGGCAGAGGCAGGCAGATCTCTGTGAGTTTGAAGTCAGCTTGTTCTACATAGTGAGTTGCAAGCCAGCCAGAGCTACATTTTGGGGTGGGACTGGGGCTAGATAAAGATGGTATTTGTCTTTCTATGTGGTGTCCTCCAGTTTCATCCATTTTCCTTTAAGTAACAAGAGTTTGTTCTTTGAGACTAATATTCCAGTGTGTATGTGTTAATATAAATTTGCTACTTATTAAGTATAGCCTGTTTTCTTTGTTTATCTGTTGGTAGGTACATAGTGTGACTCCATGTCTTGGCTGTAGTGTATGTTTATTGGGATATGAATATAGATTTTTTTTTTTTAAAGTTTTACTCTTTTGATTTTTTTTTCAGGGTCCACCCCTGGTCCCTGCTTTCTCTGTGGTTCTGCCCCAGGCACACTGCATTGTCCAGCCTGTAATCAAACCTCTTGCCCAACTTGTGACCTTTTATTCCATGGACATCCATCCCGTGCTCATCACCTTCGCCAAACCCTACCTGGGGCCCACCAGACCATCAACCTGAACTCTAGGTAAGAGGCTTTCTTTTCTCAGTGAGAGTGAAATTAAGAAAATTGAAGGTTACTTGAGTGTCTATTACATACCAGGTTCTCAATTAAAGACTGTGTCATAGAGAACAGCCAGTCTAGCCCTCAAGGAAATTATAGACATAAACACTAAGCAAATGGCAGCCACAATAGACAGATTATTTTGAAACACAGATAGTAGTTGGATATAGTCATGTCTGAAGAATCACCTCATTCTGTATTATAAACAGTCTAGCATGATAAGATTAAGGTACTATGTTAAGAGATGCTACCTGGAAGAAGTTGCCTATAACCTATCATTTAAATATTGAATGGGTATGAGAATATTCCACACAGAACAGCAATCACAGAGGCCAGAACTACATGTCATAACCAAGGCAGTGTGAGATTCACAGGGGTGAGGGGACTCGGGTACTGACTTCTACTTCAGCTGGCTATGTCTGCTTTTCTATTGCAGTTTACCTGCCTCATCCCAGGCACGGCCCCACTCAACCTCCCTGGCTCTGGGAGATAGCTCTCTTTCTCCCCCTGATAATGCAAATGCTTGTCTGCCCTGGCACTGTCCTTCCTGTGTCACACTAAACGAGCCTTGGGCAGTGCTCTGTGCAGCCTGTAGTCAGCCCAGAGGCTGTAAGGTGCTGGGAAATGAGGATGCCCAAGGAAACAGGGCCCTAGAACCCGAGCCTGCACGGGATCAGTGGGCCTGCCAGAGCTGTACCTTTGAGAACGAGGCAGCAGCTGTGCTGTGTGCCATATGTGAGCGACCTCGCCTGGCCCAGCCTCCCAGCTTGGTGGTAGATTCCCATGATGCTGGTGTTTGCCACAAGTCCCTTAAGGTAACCAGTTCCTGGCCTTCCTTGTCTTTATTTGTGTCTATTAACCTCAAGCTATTCTCTCTCATATTCCCTGTCTTTGGCTTCCCTGGTTCTCTATATTTCTGTAATGAACCTTAGTTACACAGTCAATAGGCTAATTGTTTCTACCTTTCCATCAGGGGGACGTTTTGCTTTCGTCTGCCCAGTCTGAAGTGTGGTACTGTGATCACTGTACTTTTTGCAACTCAGGCTCTGTCTGGGTTTGTGCTATTTGCAACCGAACCCGCAACTCCATCCCAGTACAGAATGCCCTTCGACCGTGTGCCAACTCTTTGGAAAAGGAACTTCCAAAGCCTGGGTCCCCACAACACCTCAGTGCTTCCCTGCCTGGTCCCTGTGGAGACCCAGAGAAGCACCGCCAAGATAAGATGCGGATGGAAAGTCTCCAGCTAGTGAGCATGATCCAGGTGAGGGTGAGGATTGGGCCTGGGATGAATGAGATGGGGTTGAGCTCTGGGAGAAAGAAGATGTCAGCTTGTTAGTTAGCATTCTTTTGTTGTTGTCATTTGTATTTTGAGATAGGATTTGTCTGTGTAACAGCCCTGGCTGTCTTGAAACTGCTATGTAGACCAGGCTGGCCTCGAACTCACAAAGACCCACCTGTGTCTGCCTCCCAAGTGCTGGGATCAAAGGCATGTGCCACCACCACCCTGCTAGCATTCTTATAAGACTTGTTACTGTTAACTGTACCTGCCTCACTTTGAATACTTCGAAAAGGGTAGTTACCATTCTGTGCAGTGGTCACACGATCAGTATGTCTCAGCTGAGCTGCTGTTACAGGGCAAAGGGTGGGTAGAGTCCCCTTTCTGATGATCCTCTGCTGTTGTCTGGGTATGATGTTCTTTAGGAAGGGGAATCTGCAGGTGCCAGTCCAGAAGAGATCTTCTCAGCTTTACAGTACTCAGGTACTGAGGTACCCCTGCA